AGGGCGTGTGGTGGCGGGTTCAGGCTGAGGGCAGGAGCACGGTGCTCACACCGCTTATTTCTTTGCTGTTTTAAGAATACGTAGAGAAGCCACTGAAGCTGGTGCTGAAAGTTGGAGGAAGTGAAGTCGCTGAGCTCTCTACTGGAAATGCAGGACTCGATTCTAGCCTGTATGAAGACAAATCCGAACATGAAAAACACAAGGACAGAAAAAGGAAAAAGAGGAAGAAAGGAGAAAAACAAGTTCCTGGAGAAGAGAAGGAGAAAAGAAAGAGAAAAGTTAAGGTGTGTATTAATGCTAGCAAAGAAAACGCATGCTTCAACTTCCTGTAGCCTTCATATGAAAGGGTGATCAGATAGGACTGTAACTTGTATCATTAAATTGAAATACATTCAGACTCACTATATTAGTTTAGCAGATTCCTTTTCTCCAGGTATTTTTATTAGAAAAAGATGAAGTCATCTGAAATTTCTCATCTTTAAAAAAATATAGAAAATATAAAAGGGGGGGGAAGATACTGTCTCTAAATCCGTTTATATAAAACAAGATGAAGGCTTTACAAGTTAGAATCATAGAACTATAAGTTCTTAATTAAAACTGAAAAAATGCTGTTAGTAGTTCACATTTATTTGAAGAATTATCAGTACCTGTAATTTAAATTTCCTGGCTATTTCATACCTGTTTTTCTAGAACTTAAAATATCATCTTAGGAGATTCCCTGGAGACAACTCTCTGTGCCGAGTTGTTCCTGTCATACTTTTTAAGTGTTTGTCTATCACATTTAGAAAAAATAATGCTGTGATACATTGCATTCTGTAGCTGAATTACTTTATTGTCCAGCAGATGGAGACAGTACATAAGGTTTAAGACTTACAACTTTTTAAACTATGTGAAGTTGTTTTGAACAATCCAGAGAGCATTATGTACAGTGGTAATGCTGGTTTTGCAGCTTCTGTAAGTTTCTATAACAGTATTTCCCTTTCTAGGAAGATAAACGGAAACGAGAACGAGACCCTGCAGACAGTGAGGGAGAACAGGAAATGAAATGTCAAACCCCCATCAGATTGGAATTGCCACCAGAGAAACCATTGACAAGTACATTGTCAAAACAGGAAGGTAAGGGGGGAAAGAAAGACATTTCTTTTGTAAATTGCAGTTTTCTTTAATTGACTCACATTTTATTGTTCGTTGTTTCTATAGCAAGTAACTTTACATTTTTTGCCATCTTGGTGTTTTTCCCCATCTTGTACAAAAATCTGAAATTACGTTCCTGTATACCACTTTTGCAGAATGGTGCCTGGTACCCATGTCAGAGTGGGCAGAATGTCAAGTAAGGCCAGTGAGAAAAGTAGATCCCCTATTTATGTTGTGGGGTTTGCCACTGTATTCTTTTCATTTATGATAAATTCTCAAGTTGGGTTAGTTTTGTTTAGTTGATTTCTAATATCTTGGACATTTAGTACCTCTTGCAGTCAGTTCTGTCTCACACCCTTTCTCCCTCCACTTCCTTTTGGTCTAGAGGTGGAGCAGACACCACTTCAGGAAGCTCTGAATCAACTGATGAGACAGCTGCAGAGGTAAATGTCTGTGCTACATGCTTTCAGGGCTATGAAATGAAAATAACATACATTAAGGGAAGAGGCATATAAAAAGCTGAGTGAAAATATTGCTACTTATATTGCTAACAGGAATGGTTTAGGAATTTAAGTACTAGTTTAAGAATGCATACTTATGACTTTTTAGCTTAGACTTCTGGTAAGCACCTCCAGTTTCAAGGTCAAAGTACTTTTAAAAAGCTTCTAAAAATGGGACAATATTCCAATAATGTGATGCTTTCATTCCAAGAACCCTTTTTCAGAGAGGCACAAGAGTTTGGAATGAACTTGCCGAACTGATCCTTCTTTTGCTTGGAGTTCTATTTTTAGCGTTATTTACTATAGAAAAGAAGTATGTATCGAAAACTTAAACCACATTCTCTTTCTGTCTTATTAATCAAATGTCTTTTGATCAAAACAATCAGATTTGCAGAGTTTGCAGTTCTTTCAAGTAGTCTGTGGTTTAATCTTTTCTTTCGTAACTTTAAGAGTATCTTTATGTCTTGCACAAGAGTGCTTGAAAGATCTCTTCCTTTACCTGTCTCACCACATTAAGCTTGAAACTTGGTTCGCAAGTTTTCTCTTAACTTTAAATTTTCAAGACTTTGGTATCATTTTCAAGAAACTAACCATCAAAAAGAGAGTGTGGTTTTTTGGGTACCTTCCCACACAGAAAGAAGCGGTCACTTTTGCTTTTGAATCCTTTCTCTCAGTTGGATGCTGTTGTGCAAGTGTTCCACAGGTGTTGCAGAGTATCTGTCCTCTGTGCTTCTGCAGATGTATAGCAAAATTATTTTCACTGTTCTGTAGCAACTTGGAGCAGAAATCCCTAAGTCATAAGTAAGCCTCAGGAAAAAGGCCTGAAATGCCAAGGATTCCACCAGTGAGTATGGTATCAACACTGGTGTAGGAGGCCCGTCTCACACTGCAGAGTTCGGTGAAAAGCAAAAAACAATGGTTTGGGAGGCAACTTGCCAGCTTACAGCTAAGCCTGATCCTAAGGAGAAGGTACCGACCAACTGTATTTTGATTTTAATGCTATTAGAAGCACCCAGGAACATGAGTGTATGTCAGAGATCACCAAAAGTCTTACGAAATTTTAGTGTAAAAGACTACTAACATTAGTTAGTAGTGCTATCATAACTTTCAGCAACAAGCTTTCCCTTGTGTTAATTTCAGAGTAAGCAATGAATGACAAATACATGTTCTCATGACATGTGTTCCGTTTATTTTTCAGAGATTTAGTTATAATACAAAACCACTTTTTGAAAAGCCAAAACCTAAAAAGGGGTGGTTTTGTTTTGTTGGTTTTGGGAGGTTTTCTTGTTCTTCTCAGGAGCACAGGTAGTTATCAGAATGTGAAACTAACTTCTAAAATGTGTTTGTAGCACTTGGTTTGGCTATGGGATCTGTTCAAACTTCAAAAGTGAAATACTGCACTGACACAAGCCATTTCTAGCTTTATGTTTTCGATTCCTTTTCAGTTTAATCCTTTCCTTTCTGTTTAATTTCCAAGCTCAATATGTTCTTTATTATAAGTTGAAACAAAAAACTCTTTTCATTTCTTAACAGAAAGGATCCAAGTTCTTTCTTTTCATTTCCTGTGACTGACTTTATTGCTCCTGGCTATTCCATGATCATTAAAAATCCAATGGATTTTAGTACCATGAAGGAGAAGATCAAGAATAATGGGTACCAGTCCATAGAAGAATTAAAGGTAATTCTGTAAATTTTATTTTGACTGTGGAGATGTATTATGCTCAGTTGACTTGAATTCTAGTATTTTATGAGAATATGAAGGTGCCAAAAGAACCAGTACTTTTGCCTAAAGAAATGTTTCTTGTTGAATTTTAGTGAGCAAATTACTTCTGGAAGTGAAAGAGAAAGCATTTCTGGTTTGGACATACACATCTCAAAGATGTGGACGATTTCAGGTTTTACGCAGGATTAAATAGAACCTGTCAGTTTGTCCTTCAGTGTTTCATTTTAGATCTTTACTTAAGAGTGAACGTGTTAATGTTTTTGTCAGTGCTCTCTTTTTTGTTGAATGTATTACGTCTCAAAAAACAAGGAGTCTGGTGAATTTCTTGGCTTTGTTTGTCTGTTGCTACTTCCTTATTTGCTTCCAGTCACCTCTCTGCTAGCCAGGCTTATCCAGTAGACTCACAACTAGCTAAGGCAAGATGAGCTCAGTCTGTTGGCAGCAACCACTTAAGCCTGTGCTGTAGTGTCTTGCAGGTCCCTAATACTTTTAGAAGGTGTGGGAGCTTGTTTTATTGTTTTCTTCAGCAGAAATACTCTCTAGTTCTTTACAGGGTTAGATGAGCACTCAAGAAGTGTGATTTGTGTGTAACAGTTGAACTTAGGCAGATGTTGGTTAATAGTATTGGTTGTATTTTCTAGCGCATTCCTCTTTAGAACTCAAAAACTTCAGAAGAATATTTGCTGTTGTTTCAGCTGTTTCTGGTTAGTTTTTCATTTTATCATTTTGTCTTTATAAGTAGCTGAGAATGTGATACAATATATCTGCCTGTAGAGGCTCTGCAGCAAGTTTAAAAGTGAAGTTTCTAGCTCAGTCATTCAAGAAATGAACTTCAAACAAGCATACATTTCCTTTCTTCATTGTTATTGCAACTTTAGCATATTCCTTATAATGATTTAACTTTGAATTGCAGCTTTTCTGTTGTAAAAGGTAGCTTTATTGTCTTTTTTATGTTACTTCACCTTGTTTTTCTTATGATGACTGCTGATTGGTCAGGGAACTGGGTAATTTTAGCTGAGAGGACTTCCATTAACACTTTAAAAACTACAGACAATACTGAACATGTAAGAATACTTTCAGGACGTTTATTGCTACTTTTGAGACTTGTAACTTTGTTTAAATTTTTAATTAAATAGATTTCTTAGATTCATGAATTAAGTGTTCTTTGAAGTTTGTGTTTTCCCTCAAGCTCAAGATAGTACATTTGCAACAAGATTTTAATACAGTATACTATAAAATTTTAATTTCCATTCCAAAATTATTAATATCTGTCCAGGACAACTTCAAACTGATGTGTACTAATGCAATGATTTACAACAAACCAGACACCATTTACTACAAAGCTGCAAAAAAACTGCTGCACTCAGGGATGAAGATACTGAGCCAGGTAATAGAAAATACAAAACAAAATATTAAAAAATATACTGCTTCTTTTCTGATCCCTCTTTCATTCAACTTTCCTTACAGGGATCTCATGAAAACTAATAAAAACTTTGTATTTGTCAAATGTTTGCATATAAGAATTTAAATACATTGTTTTAAGGCTCAGGTCTCAGTACTGCTACTAGATCAGTTATTGAAGAAATATTTCGCATTTAATGTTGCATTTTCTGAAATATATTTGCTAGTATATATTTGCTAGAATAAGAAAGAATGAACTGAAATAAAGTCCTCTATGCATTATTAAAAGATTCATTAAAGCAGCAAATAAAAGCATTTCTGTGATTTTTAGGAGAGAATTCAGAGCCTGAAACAAAGTATAGAATTCATGGCTGACCTGCAGAAGACAAGGAAGCAGAAGGACAAGCCAGAACTGCAGCAAACTGGCGAAGATGAAAATGGTCCTGGAAAAGACAAAGGAGAACCTGTGGATGGTGATCCCAAAGCATTCAAAACACCTGGCAAAGAACACAAAAAGTGAAGTATTATCTCAGTAATAGTTACAGCATACATCCTTTACATGCTGTGGAAACAAGATGACTTTTAGAGACCAGTGGATGGGGGTTTCTCTCTTCCGGTAGTGCATAGACATTAAGACTTCCTCATCTGAACAGAGCAACATTTGTATAAAATGTCCTCATACACCAAAAATAAATAAGTTTAGAATCTTTTACAATACCCTTTTTTTTTTTTTTTTTTAAATGTAGATAACTTTGTACTGCTCATCAACTCCATTCCTTCAATTGTTTTCTATTTTAGGGTCTGTTTCACTTAAGTAGTATTGTTTTGGAGAAAGCTTGCAAACAGGACCTTTTAAATATTTTGGTACAAATAACTGTAGCCAATTCCAAGTACTGTTGTGGGGTTTTGTATTTGAAATATGTAAATGCGTAGATACCAAATGTATACTTACTGAGATATCTTTTAATATAGAGAAATACCCTTTTCGGTGTTCTGAAATACTAGAGAATGTATTTTCACAGATTTGAAAATACAGACAGTAAATTTCAGAGTATCTAATATTTTACCAAAACTGTCCTTGTTAGTTCTGTGGGAGTGCTGACATAAGATCTAGCAACATGCTAAACTCAGACATTAGTGTGGCTGAAGCAAGCTGAACATGCTGAAGTAAGCTAAAGACCTTTACAGTTATTAACACGGAAAAGCATTTGCTGATGCAAAGTTGTCACATACTTTTGCCAGCTATATTCAGTGGCACTTTTCTTGTATTAGTTGTTTTGTCTACAAAAACAGTTTGCATAGGACACAAAACCAATTTATTCCCTGTATCCTTTCATGGTATTTAGTTGGTGTCTGTTAAATCTGTCTGTTAAATGTAGTAACTAAGTTGTGTGCATTCTGTTCACAGGAAGGACAAAGATCTACTTGAAGACAAATTGCGGAGCACTAACTTGGAAAGGGAACAAGAGCAGATTGATCGTATTGTTAGAGAATCTGGAGGGAAGTTAACAAGACGGCTTGCAAACAGCCAGGTAGGTCTTCGTGTATTTAATAACACCTTTCACTTTTCATAAATAGGCTTACTTAGCATCTTGTGTCAGCTGAAACTTAAGGTAGATTTTACTAGTTAGAGTATACACCATTCCACACGTAACTGATCTTTTGTGTAACATCTTAAGGTTTAAAAAAAAGGCATATCAGCTGAACACATGCTAAATTTCAGCAGCAGAGCAAGTTCAGTGTACATTTCCGGAAATTTTACATAATGTAGTAGAAAAACGTGAATAGTAGGAACCTCAAGAAATCTGACCTGCAAAAATCTGTTGTTCTGAAACAGCCATGTATCTGATCAAAGGTTATTAATGTTCCAGGAGAAGGAACCCAGTTTGGTAATACTGGGCCCACTTAATTTTTCTACATTAATTATATGTATTATCACTTAGCTTCTACAGAAACAGCAAAAGTTATCATCATATCTTAATTCCTTGTGCCTGTACCAATAAAAAAATCAGTGAAAATAAAAAAGGTAAAAGCAGCACTCTCTTCTGAGTCTGACCTTTCCAAATCCCTTTCTGATTCCTATTAGTAGGATGATTTCATTAGATGTTTTTATTAGTCTGAGAAATTAAAGTAGTCTGCTCTTATTTCAGTGTGAATTTGAAAGAAGAAAACCAGATGGTACAACGACTCTGGGCCTTCTTAATCCAGTTGACCTTACTGCAGGAGGTAGGTTGGTATGATACAGGTAACAAGCCGCTTTCAGCTATCAGGCCTGCTGCTGTTTTGCTTGGGGAGATCAGCAAATGCTGGCCAAGGACTGGATATTTCTTTCCAGTCTGATAAAGATCTGTATTTAAAAAGGTGCAGCTCAGCATACACATAGATAGGCCACAGTTACGGCTGTTATTAGGAGCAGCTGGAGGGAGCCCTTGGTGGCTGCTGCTTCTCCTGTTTGTGGGAGCTGCACTAGAAAGCTTTTGCCATTGGAGAAGAGACTACCTGCCATATGCTTGGGCACATTTCATTCCTGGACTCCCCTTAAGTCTGGTCTGTGTACAGAGTGCAGTGTATTCTGACCCGAAAGGTCACAGATGTTCCAGAATTAGCTGCTGGGAACATGTTGGTGCCATCTGTGTAATGCCACTAGCTAAAAGAGTTCAGGTGCTTGACTTTTTAACTGCCAGCTCATTACAGAGCTGAACTGACTAGGTCAAGAACAGGCAGAAGTCAGGCCGAAGACTTGACTTTTCCCTTTCCCCTATTTGTGCAGTAGAAAACGTCAGCAAGAATAAAGAAAGTGTGGTCTTTCACATGAAGAATCAGATGCTTTTTAATGTTGTCACCTCTGTTAGGGAGGGACAGGAAGGAGGAAGACTGATAATGAAAGCTTAAAATTTACATTAGATTTTCTATACTTAACCAGTGTTACTACTTACTTAGTCTGGATTCATGTTAAAGACTACACACAGTCTTTACTGCAAAGCATTTTGGGAGGAAAACTTTGAGAGTTGTATCCTGTGTATTCTGAAGTTTCTGGCTATGGGTGTTGAATGAGTTTTCATGTCTTCCTCTGTCATCTAACTATGCCTAACACACTATTGCTGTGTATTGATATATCCTATTGTAGAGCCAGGTTACTGTCCTGTAAAGCTGGGTATGACAGCTGGAAGGCTTCAGTCAGGAGTTAATACATTACAAGGTTTCAAGGAAGATAAAAGAAACAAGGTTACTCCAGGTAAGTGCTCGTTTGTTTGTTTTGTTGGTCTTTTTTTTAAATATAAATCATCCTCCTTTTATAAAGAAAATATGTTGATCTCATTGTTAACACAAATAGTTTGGAACTAAGGTTTTTTCATGAAAAAGTGCATTTTTGCATGTCTGTCAAACAGCAGCACATCACAGTCTAGCTTAATTTACACATACAAAAGGGGAGGCATACTTAATCTTCATCTATATTGAGAAGAGGTTTTCGCAAGCTCTGAGGGAGCATAGTGGGTTGCCTGAGAAGCTGTTACCAGCACCATACTGAATTTTCATATTGTGTTAAGGTGTACAGTATTGTTAATAAAAATGCATTTGAGGTGGATGTTACTGAAACATTTTACAGTGTGTCTGAACAGATGGTATTCTATGAAGTTTGTTTTCACTGTAAGAAATGTGTTCCTAAAAATTTCTTTTTGGGGGTTGTTTTACAACCCCTTCTCACTTTTATATGATGCACACATATCAGAGGTAATAATTAATACTGTTGTTATTCATTAGTGACATACTTGAATTACGGACCCTATAGTTCTTATGCTCCGACATATGATTCCACATTTGCCAACATAAGCAAAGAAGATTCTGACTTAATCTATTCAACATACGGGGAAGAGTCTAATCAAGGATCTTTCAGGTAATCAAAGAACTAGGATGTGTATTACAGCTTTCACGTTCAGAAGCAGCTTGTGTCACTGCAGTATGGGCTGTGTCTTTGCTGTTGAATGATGTCACTGCTGTCTTTATAGGCTGCTGGGTTTAGTTTGTTCAACTTAAGAAACAAGTAAGAGAATTTGCCTGTGAAGTGAAATTAACCAAAATTGAAGGATTTTGATACTACTGATGCATAGGAACACAGACTAAAGTTTAGGTATACTTACGACTAACTCTGAAGGACTTGTGTTCAAAGCCAGGAAAATGTTGAGTGATACAAGTGTTTATAGAAACTGGAAATTTTAACATTAATGAACTCTATTACTGCCTTGAGTGAGATGTATCTTGGGTCAAATACTGACCAAACTACTATGGTTGAAGTGGGAGAACTGAGTCCAGAGAGAGTGATTCCTAGTTAACATTCTTAAATGCTGTGTATACTGCTTGATTTCTGTATTATTTACTACAGTAAAAATAATTAATTCTCACTGTTTCTATTATTCTTGATTATGAAAATTTCAGCACTAAAGTCCTTTTGATTTATGAGAATTTCAAAAATGGAATACACAGCAGTATAAATTTGTGTGACATGTGGGAATACTGAAGGGAAGTACAGTGCAAGGTTTGCTCTCAGTTCAATGCAGCTGCCTCAGGCAGTATAGCTTTCCTAGTTTTTCAGGTTTTGTTAAGTATCTGAATGGGTTCCTCAGCTACAAAAGGCATGGATAACTAAACTAAAGCAAAGTGTTTAGATCCAGTTCTGTGCTACTTTTTTGTGTTCCTATGCTGTACATAGTGGTTTGGCTTCATGTAGCATTTTTCCACTGGATGTTTGGTATTAAAATAGTTACGTTAACTCTTTTGATCTTCTAGTATCCATGATTTTTTGATGAAATCACAAGATTACCCTTTCTTAATGGCTGATAGTTTGCTTGATGTTCTAACTAAAGGAGGACACTCTAGAGCTCTCAGAGAACTGGAAGTGGTAAGAGTGGATTTGTGTCCTGTCCATCTTTCGTTTCAGCACACAAGCTATAAAGCTGGGGAAAGGTGATGCTGATCCTATTGATGGGCTCCATTTTAATGGGTAAAATCTCAAAGTGAAGACTGATCTTTGTCTCCAGTGGGAGGATTTTCTGGAAAGGGATTATTCTGACTTCTTAATTAGTGAAACATGAAAATTAATTAAGTATTGACAGGCAGTCACACATTCTTTCCCTGTCTACTCTCTCAGTCCCATTAGCACTAGCTTTTGTTCCATTCAGTAAGAAAATGCCAGTAAGCAGTAGTTCAGAAAGGAGGTGATCATGGACAGGCTTTCCTATTTCCATGAGGAATAAGTTTATCATGTTCCTAGCAGCCACTGTTTAGTTCAGGAGAACTAGTAACTAGTTTTTCCCTTTATGTGGTACAGTGCTTTTAAACTCAGGTATGTGCTGTGTAAAAATACTGAACAGCTGCTCTTCACCTCTTAGGAGATTTCAGTACCTGTGTATCCCGACCATGAAGGGAATCAGAGGGGATGATTTGACAATGTTAACTTAATTGGCAATCTAAGAATGAGTTGAGAATCTCCACAGGACAGTTCCTGTTAACTAGAAGTCTTGCTTTGAGTTTCACATCAGCGTAAACTATTGAAATAAACAGATCATAGCCTTTTATTAATGGGTCATATATTAGGTAGATTAATACTAGCCATAGTTCGTGGGTCAAAGATTAACCTTCAGCCCCAGTTCAGACCTTTGTTTAGTCTTACTAGTTCAGCTCTTTCCTGGTACCCAGTAGTGACACTGACTTAGAGGGTTCAACCACTACAGTTGCAAGTATTAAGTTACATAGAAGCAGAATACATTTCAGCCTCTAGAAGTCTTCCTTCCTTTTCTTCTTGCCCCCTAGTAAATAATCTCTGATGTGACATCACTGGGGAAAAGCACGTGAACTTTGCAAAAACAATACAATATGTGCTGTAAAAATGAATTTTAGTAAACATTAATAGCTGAAGAAAGCCCTCTAAAAACCAGCTGCTTTGTGACTTGGTTTACAGAGGAGGCTTATTATGACATTGTATGTTTACCTCACTTTAAAAATACTGCATATTGCAAGATTTTGCTAGGAACGTGAAGGTTAATTTTAATGCTTTCTTTAAAAATCCTTTCTCTCTTCAGCCATCGGAGGAAGCTGAAAGCTCACATGAAAGAAGCAATGCAATGAAAGATGTAAAGGTAAAACTTCTGAATCGATTAACTACTCTAACCAACTGACCTGTCTAACCCCACAGTTAAAAAACTGCCTACAACTGCAGGGCCTGTTCAGCTACACAGAGTGACAGGCTGTAAAGGTACACTCTGACTTGTGACAAGAGCGTGCGATTTTGTAGGCATTTGGAGCATAAGAATCTCCAAAAAGTTAAGTCTTAAATGAGAGTTTACATCAAGAGAACTGGAAGAAAATGCTTATAGATTTTGTTTCTGATTAGTTAACCATGTGTTAGATCTGGTTGGCAGCTACAGTCATTTTATTCTTACCTTAATCTGATTTGGTTTAACATGAACTTGTAACATAAGTAGGGAATATCACATGATACACAGCTGTCTTTGAGAAAAGTTTTCTCAAATACCTTGACCCATATAAACATACAATACATCTCTAAAATCATTCCACCCAAACTTGTTCACTTAGAAAACGTGTAGCAGCAGTTCTAGGGGAGAAGGAGCTGCTCTCCTGGAGCGTTCACTCGCAGCCCATGCCCAGACTGGTTTTCAGTTTTGGCCTCAAATCTTAAACTCTGCTTTAGGTGAGCTAAAGGGGGTTTTATTCTTTCTTTTTTTTAAATTGGGATGCTGGTCTTAAGTTTCTGTATCATTTGTGCCTGCCCCCAGCGGTTTTAGCAGATGTCATTTTCTGTGCAAGTATGAAATAGAATCATAAACTGAGTAACTGTAGAGCAGTGGAAGTTCACAGGGTGTCTTTTCAGCTTTCCCTCCATATGTTCACATTTTTGTAGAGGAGCTTAATTTTAACTAACTTTGCATTTGGATTTTCCTCAAGCAATGTTGTTGTTGTTTCAAGGCTGATCTAAATTACTACTTGCTGCTTTTTTGTTGTTGTTTTAGGTTATGGAAATTGATATTGCTGCCAGGTTGGACTCTACTAATAATGACAGACTTACAGCACTAAAAGCAGTTACAAACTTTGGCATGCCTATAGAAGAGTTTGATTCTGAGGGTGAGTTTTCATGGTACTTGCACTTTTGATCTGTCTGTAACTGTTTTACTTTCTCAGTCCCTTTGCATAGTCAGCCTTGCTATGTTTTATATCATAATGTGAGTGAATATACTCTCTTACTGGTTAGGAATTTATTTATTTTCTTCATTACACAGAGGCTGAAATCTTCCAGAGGAAACTTGATGAAACAACAAAGCTGTTGAGAGAACTCCAGGATGCTCAAAATGAACGACTAAGTACAAAACCACCCCCTAATATGATTTGTCTTCTGGGTCCATCTTACAGAGAGATGCACTTGGGTAAATGCACTTTTTCTGATCATTCTTGCAGAACTGATCAAGTCCCAACTTGGATTAACGTCAAGAAACGCAAAAGTTTAGCAGTTACAGTGCAGACTACATGTCCTCTTAGGCCTAGAAAATTCAGCATTTTTCAATGTAAAGCAAGATAAAAGTCTTGAAGAGTAATTACAAGTATTTCCTCTTTATTAATAGATTTCCTTAGAAATGACTGGGAGCTTTCTGTATGCCATGGGGCAGACAATAGCCAAACGCTTCTAACTCCCTGATTTTTATATGGTCTTTGAACAGGGCCTGCTTAAGTGTTACTGAGTTCTTAGCATAAGGCTAGCTTTGCTAGGTTTGATCTGGTTATCAGTCTGTTTTATTATAGCAGTTAATACCAGTCATACATTCTTTAATCGTCTGAGCAAAGCTGCCTGTCTCTCAGGTCAGTTACACAGCCTGGGTTAATGGCAGCCTTGTAAGACGGGACTGTGTGCAGAGGGTTATGTTTACTTGTGCAAGTAAAACCAACTTTTGCAGTACCAGCTGCAGCATATGTGGTATAAAATCACCCCCTTGAGGTGGTAAGATAAATCCCTCATTACTGGAGAAATACTACCAAGTTGGTATAACACCAAGTCTAAAGCAGATCAAGTATTACATTTCTTAACATATTTAAGTACTTGCAGCTTCCATCTGGGAGGAAAACCACATTTATAGCAACACGACCAGAGCCCCTGGTGCATGTACAAAACTGAATGCTGGCTCCTGAAGGCCCTCTGGTGCTGACACAGTGGTTGTGGGTGCCACCAGCTTCCTCCTGGGTGTTGCAATAGTGTGAGCCAAGCATCATTAGCTCACACCTCAGCTTCTGGTGTTCCTTGAGCCTTGCTCAGCAGCTCTTCCCTTCTTCCTCTTCTTAACCATCTTTCATAGTTCCCACTGTCTTGCATGACTGCATGCAGTACAACAAAATGCTTCTGTTGCAGATACAATACTTAATGTAGTTGTATCTGTACTTAAATAATTAAGCTGGGTTTACATGGTGAAGGGCTCATTTTGGGGATTTTGTGTCTACGCAGCATATAAACACATCCACTTATCTTTTCCAGCGGAGAGAGTAACCAATAACCTGAAAGAACTTGCACAACAAGTGACTCCAGGTGACATTGTTAGTACATACGGAATCCGGAAAGCAATGGGAATTTCAGTTCCCTTACCTGACACGGAAGACAGCTGGGTAGATTTGACAGAGGGTGAGTGTACAGAGATGTATTACAGCATCTGTTCAACTAAAACAAAACCACGTCTGCAGATCATTAGACTGGCTTGCGATAGAACTTGCAGTAACCTGGTTCCAACTTTCAGTTCTTCTCCCCTTTTTTAAATTCTGTTTCAAATGGGAAGTTGCTGTGCTTGGTCTCAGTCCAGAATTAATCTTTTGGATGTATGGGACTTCGGTTCAGCTACATGAAGTAACTATTTTACTGTGTATCTTGCAGCAATGCCAGATCTTAAAGCCTGGCACTCCTTTCAATTTTAGTTTTTCCATTTAGCATGAACTTAAAAGGGAAGAGGTAAAATTCCTCACTTGCTAAACGACAATATTGCACTTTCTCCTTCTCCGGGCTTGTGGCTGTGCCTGCCCTTTGCTTAGTTTGGCCAGCTACTGCTTTGTAGGTGGACAGCATCAGCCCAACTCCACGTCTCCAGCCAAAAATTACTGCTGGTTTGGAGGGAGTAAGGATGCAGATCAATGGAAAACCAAGTGCCAGAACCAGCCCCCCTGTATGTCAGATCAAGGGTAAAAGTTGTGTTCCTCCCCACTCCTCACAACAGGCGAGTGGTTCCTTTCAGGAAACTAATACCCCATTTATTCAATCTGTGATTGCAGTCAAGATATTTCTTAATGAAAAGCACAGGGTTACTTCAGGAACTTAGCTCTGCAAGGAAACTGCTCAAGAAATTTTGGTTGCAAAAGTGTTGAGCGTTTTCTGTTCCATAGCGCTCCACAAGTGAGGGTACGTTACGGAGCCAGCCAACACATGGCACTTTCAGTACAGAGTAGCACAGCTACTCTGGCTAGTACAGAGCATGCAGCTGACTTGGGACTGTGCACCAATAGCAGATGTCAGGAGAACTCTAGGGAATGCATGTTGCATTTAGGCGTTTTCTGTGATAACTGAGCCGGTACCTGCTGTAACCTTTCAGACTTTCAAGAACCTAAGAAGACTGTCACCATCCCAGAAAGCGAGTGTGGCCCGGTCACAGTCTGAGGCTCTGGTCCAGTTTACAGCTGTCTACATGAACCTCCTTCAGGTGCATTCACCTGGCACATGTACTTTGTGTGTTAAACTACTTTTGTTCATGAATTCTGGGGACTGGTGACACTTGAAATTGAATGGTTTGTACTAGAGTTATGTCCGCTACATAAATGCACTAAATTATTGTTTTGGCATTCCTTGGTACCTCTGCTGCATTTAAGTTTTCCTGGATTGTTAAATGTCTGGAAAAGTCAAAGCATAAGTGAAAACATACCTGTATATGGGGCAGGGACTCACCAGCAGTTTCTAAAAGCAATTTACAGACTCTGTATCTCAGTCTGGTTGGAGCAGAAATCATTAGTATCTGAACAGGCAAGTGTCCCTTTTTAAGTTTACTGTGCAACTCTAATGATCATGAGGAAGAGAAATAAACTTTTTGAGAAATAAACTTTTTAAGAAATAAACTTTTTAAATACGAATGACAGAGCTGTGGGAGACTCTGGATGTGGATCCATCTCATCTCAGAGAGGCACTGCCATCTGCTCACAGGGTTCCTAAAGCTTGAAGGCAAGCTGAGACATGTACCATGCTGGTAAGGGGAGACAAACCCATCTGCTTGCTGCCAGCAGGTGAAGTACCACACTGCTACAGGATGGTCAGTTCTGAGAATCTCACACAGGCAAATCTTCATATTACTGGAAGGTACTACTGAATACTACCTGCATGATGATTTTAGGCTGGCTTGTCAGAAAGGAGCACCTAGGTGAAAAAATAGCATTAAGAGTTGAGTTCCTCTTCACCAAAACCACTGCCAAAGCAGACTGACCACACAGCTTTCAGGCACAGAGAAGTCAGGCACCCTCGTGGTACCACACAGGCAGGCTGTGCCCTGGTCTTGTCAGTAACTCTCACGTAGTTGGGCAGTGTTAGACATGGGCTCACCACAGGCATCCTGAAGCATTTGTAGACGTTGCTCCTTTTGCCCTGTGTTTCCAGTAGTAACCCTGGATGTGGTCAGGAATGACATGCAGTGTGCCAGTCCCTCTGCTCAGCAACCATAGAGCATGCAGGGCCATGGAACTGAACTACAAAGCATCATGGTGAATTCCACCCCTACACCCAGTCCAGCATCATCACTACACTCCCTCCTTTCTGCCTCTCTGAAAACAGCCGCAGGAATGTTTTGCAAGTTTTACAATTGAAATTCATCCCAGAAGGACTGAACTCTCAACCTGGGTTTTTCTCCAGTAGTTCAGTTGTCCCAGATAATTTCTTAATAAAAGTCACCGCTGGAATTTTTTCACAGGTCAGTCCTGGTAGTTGCAGCTGAAATACTACTCCAGGGAATGAATTTTTCCATGGGTATTTTAAGTCATTTCCATGCTGTAAGAGAAGACCAAAGGCACAAACACCATGCATCTCCCTTCCCATCTCTCACAATCCAGGTAGAGGAGCAGGCAGACACAGAGGACAGAAAACAAAGTATTGAAACTATTCTGTAGCTGTTGACAGAAGAGACTTTACAGCATATTTTCTACTTGCACAATTTAACCAAAAAAAAAAAAAAAAAAAAAAAAGTGTTGAGTTTACAAGTAAAAGCCATCTCATTAACTCTGCAGGGGGGTAAGAAATGTACCTCCTTTTCATGGGGATCTTCAAAATCACTGCAAACCCAAACAAGTTTCAGGAAGTTTTTTATTTAATGCCAAAACCAAAAGTTTGTTCTTTAAAATAGACTGCTAGTTCAAGACTTTATTAGCTCTTCAAATGTTTTTCGGTTTAAGGAAACAATAATGCTGTAAAGAAAGGTTTTGCTAACAAGGTTATTCCTTGATCTTGAATTTCACAGTTTGCTCTCACAAGGACTGTGGAAAACAGTTACTTAAATACAGCTGCTGCTTAAATTGAACTTTTTCGGTGGTTGAATGTAGCTCTCATGTTATACAGTCCTCGGTCATCCCCAGATCCAACTCCTTTGTGACACGCCTTCTCACTTCCCAGGCGTGCCTTGCATAGCACACAGACATTGGGCGAGCAGCGCAAGTGCATTGTGTCCTCTTAAACATGCAACACCCCAAGGTCTTCCCATTTGGAAGCTACAGGTCTCTACACCCCTTCTGGAAGCGAGCTTCAGTCAAAGGTACACCCAAGCACAGGTTGGCAGTAGAGTGTAAATAAAAGCATTTCAAAATGCTGTTACAGACAGGGAATTTTCTTTCACAGATAACTTACACCTACATCCTAACAGGTCTGTGATGAGAGACACTTTTAAAAGCCAGCTGCAGGCACAACGCACTTGGCAAAACATTCATGAGGCAAATACTCACTTCACCTAACATACAATATCAAAGACCAAAAGGAGCCTTTGATGCATGCATGGTCCTTAGAAAACAATAAATAAATATCTCAAAACAAGCACTTGCTGAGCATCTGTTACTACAAACATACAACGTACAGGAGTAGCAAAAGCCATTTTAAAGTTTATTGAACTACAACACTGACCTTACGCTAACAAGAAGAGTACAAAACGTCCTTCAGCAAGTCCATGCATGACCCAGTCAACCTCAAAGTTTTCTAACCTGCCATTTCTTGTTGGAGACTTGCTATAGGCACAGGTTTGACCTACCAAATTGACAAAGGCTAGAAGCACAGTGTTTAATCCACAGCTGGGCAATATTTAGACTTCTTCCTGTCCTGAACCATAGTCACTTCATCTTCTAAAGAAATGACACAGTAATTGGAAAGTGGCAGTGATGCATAGGACTGCTTGTTAAACACTTTTCTGGTATGGGCTAGTACTAAACCCAGAAAGATTAGTAAACACTGCTTTGTCTGTTGAAGAGTAAGGCTTAACAGAATTGATGTTGAACTCCTTAACCACCATGCTGCATCATCATACTACATGTGGTATACTGAGGAAGGGGGGATCCATCCTTAGTTAATACCTGTAACTGGGCACAGGCTGTTAGCCTTACAAAATACTACCATCTGCACCAACAGAAAACAGACTAAGTGACTGCAATAAGTAGAGAAACACTAACCTAGAAAACAGTAAAAGCCATTAACAGCTTAAGAGTTAACAAACTAAACCAATGTCAGCAAGTCTATTTCCGTGATGATCTTACTAACACTCTGTGTGTACTTCCAGTATTGAGGCTCTGTTGAAACATTTCCATTATGAATATGTTTTTTCCCCACATCCTTTTGTAGCCTTCAAACCCAATCCGTTCCAAAACTGCATTGCCTTTAAAAGGTACACAAACCAGCCAGAGGCTAGTCAAATTGAGGAAATAAGAACAGAAAAAAAAACCCCAAAGCCACCTCAGACACAGTTCTGTTTATACAGTATCTGCTACTGCTGCTGATCTGACTTTACAAGTCTGTTCTTCAGTGTCCAAACAATTCAAACCAGATTATTTTTGATCCCATAAGTGCCCTTAATGCAGCCAGCATACAGAGCTCCCACTGGCGCCAGCAGCACAAGCTGCCCTCAGAGCTTGTCTAATCAAGCACGAGGACAAACTGCAGGTGCCCCGTGCTCCTCGAGGTCGGGGCTATGTTTTTACGTTTAAAGCCAGAACTTTAAATACACTCACTTAGGTGACTGTATGGAATGTGCATGCAGATACCAGTACAGACGCACAGAAACACAACAGAGGACATGTAATGTAAACATGCCAAACTGGATGAAAGTTAGCTCTGAAGAACTGTTGGTCATGAAAACATTTGCACAGTACAAGGTACTACTGTGGAGGAGGTGAAGACAAGGAAACAGGAATCCGATGCTGTGCAGTTCTTCTTTCCCAAAGGAGCTCAGCACAACTGTCACAAGATACATTTGAGTTTACTTGTGGTCCTCCTCCCATTATTCAGCACCTTCCACTGTGCAGTCTGGTAAGCACTAAAAGCAGGATCCACAGCACCCAGAGCGTCACCTCACTGTCTGTGACAAATGCAATACTGTAGTAAGCAGGTGTGGGGCAGAACCAAGTGGTGGAATGTTCCAACCTAGTAACAAGTTCTACTGTGCATCCACAGCTCTTGGTACTGGAGCTGTTAAACTCCCACAGTGCAGGTAAGGAAAGGAACTAATTGAAAATGCTTCATGATAATTCCAGGTAAATCCCCACATCGGTACAGGAAAAGGTAGCCTTTTTGAGGCTGGTGGCTGCAAGCCTTCCAGGAACTATTCAGAACTTCTCCTCTTGAAAAAAAAAAATAACAAATCATTGTCTTATCTTGAGATGTAGAAGAAACACGAATAGTATATGTATGGTTTTAGAGTAAGTCCTTCACATAAGGAGAGAAATTCTAAGTCTTCACAGAAGGGAGGCAGTTCTAAGTCTATTTTGATCAAGTTCATCATAGCCTCAGTTCAGTCCCATACCTTGGAATTTGGCCGTCTCAGTGCAAACAAAGTAAGTCCTCAGTTCTCCCTTGCCTTTGACATTAATAAGTCCCCGACATTCACATGAATATCCCAACTCCTGTAGTATTTTACTTGTTTCTTCTGTGACCTTTGTGTGAAAAGAATGAGAAACTTGTGAAATTCTTCTGATTATTCACAATAAACAATCATTTCTTAGACATTCCAGGCTCGTATGTTTACCTGAATTTTCCCAAGCTCCCCCGTACTCTCCATGCGGCTGGCAACATTGACAGTGTTCCCCCAGATGTCATACTGAGGTTTCCGGGCACCGATCACACCAGCAATCACAGGGCCATGATTTATCCCTACATAAACAAGAATGAGTGTCATTACTGAAGCAGAAAGTGATGTGGTCTCTACCTTCAGTATTAGCTGTAAGTCACAAGCTTTAGGGGAAAAGAAAAATCGAAACCAAAACAAACCCATTACCCTGCACATGTTTCTAGCAAGTGGTGTTGACACTGGTCTATAAATATTAGCCCTGTCGCTCAGGAGATGTGAAGTGACTCATTCGGTGTAAAACGGGACGTCCGAAAAAGAGCTGGGGCACAGTTCATGCCAAAGCAAAATTCCTCCTTGTAATACACAGAAATGAACATGTGCATAATGACAATCCTGTCTTTAGTCAACAGTTAATGAGAGAGTCCTTCAGTCTTCATCTGTACCTTTAACGTTCTCCAAACTCATCCAGCTGCAGTCTTCATACTGCTCCCTCCAGTGATTAGAACAGCCCATCCATGAAGGAACTTGGCACATTTAAAAAGCTAGACTAGACAGCACTGCCTTTGGCTATTCATCATTTTATAACAGTCCTGTTATAAGACTGTGGTCAGTGGCAAGAAGGGCTCCCCAGCACTCAGCAATTTACCTAAGTCATCCTACCTTGTTTTTAACTTTTACTGCAGAGTTCATATTCCTCACAAACTGAACTTACCAATACGAAGGCGGAAATTGTTAAAGGAATGTCGGTTGATGCCATCCAGTTTACTCATCAAGGCAATCCCATATTCCACCATAATCCCAATGTGAGCATGCTGTCTCTCCTTATCCTGCACAATTCATAACACATGAATGATCAAATCATGACACAGAAGGTTGTGTCAGGCCACTATTCCAAACCAATACTATCAGTGCATAAAATACGTATTTATAAGGATGAGAGCATTCACATTTGTCACTCTGCAGAATTGCACATTCAACAAACATTCAGACTGGATTTTTAAAACTACATAAAATCAGCCAGAACGGCTATGAGGCAACAAGCATGGCATGATTTAATTTTATAATGAATTTCTGTCTAGCCTTTAAGGATTTCAGGTTTCATTTTACATGTTTTGTAGATATTACATACGTGCATCCTGATGTCACACACAAACCTGTGATCGTGAAAGTGAGCCTGAGTACAGAAATTGGTTTTCATTCTTCTGGGAGACAGTTTCAGATTCAGATCTAACGTGGCACTTGAGGATTGCCTTTATGTGCCAGTTAGGAGGTGTGACAAAAAGCTTACTGTCCAGTTCTGAGATGGCCTTGTCTTTGGCAGCCATTCTTTGGCCTCCCTATTATGAGAGCTATTCTATTATGCATCCAGAAATGTTCAGCTACTGGAATCAAAGACGTAAAAAGTATGCTGGGGTTATAGGCTTAATACCTGCTTAGGAAAAAGAGATGGAACTAGGAGACAAATAGTGAATTCAACAGAAGACAGTACACTTTTATAATCTTTTTTCATATTTCAGAAAGTCACTCTTGGTGATTTATTTTCTCTTTGATATCACATTACGTTTTGTTACCTTGAAATGCACCCCAGTACACAGAGAATACTGAAGGCAGATTTCAGCAACAACGCACCTGGTTGTTCTCTTGGCCAGGTGTAACACTGAGGCCAGCTGCTGCCATGTAAGTGCTTCCAATGGTTTTTATTTTTTCAACACCACTGAACTTGGGTTTTAACAAGAGCTGGTTTTGAAGGGAAGGAAAACAGAAACTTGAGAGTTTAATTTCATATTTCACCGTGGGATTTAGCCGGAAATCTTATACTGTCTACAATAAGCATTAAAGATCTCTAGGAATAATATCGGTCACATGAAGGGCAGATAAAGTACTGAGCATTAGTTTCAGTACTCCTCTACCCACTCACAGGAGAAATAAAAGCACTGAAGTACTGAAATAAAGTCCTTAATTCAGGACTTTCAAACCATACTACAAATGCATTAAGTGATGTAACTGAAAAACCCCATCAGATGGGAATGTATCTTTCAAGATAGCAAGGCTGAAGTCAGAATTTAGTCCAGCATAACAGCCTTCCCCCAACCCCAGTGCTCACAGATCTAGCAAAACATTTTATTTTGCCATAAATATGCAGTCCAGGCCATTTTTGCAGAAGCTTAATTACCTCATCAAAATCAGCAATGATTTCATTTAACAGCCGCAAGCATTCCAGGCCTTCTTTATTGACATCACATTCAGTATAAAACACCTTAAAATCTGGTACTGATGCAAACATGACACAGACACAGTCATAAGATTGATGGTACCAGTCCTACAGGAAAACAATATATTCACATGTTGTCAGCAGTCACCTTCCACCACAGGTATTCAAAACTATGATTATTGTTTATAACCATTAATCAAATCACAGTTTTCCATTAAGTCACCTCCAGTACTTTACAGTGGACATCTCATGTTTTATCAGAACCATCAACAAAAATGACTTGCCTAAAGAAAAGCTGAGATATCTATGTATCTTAAAGATTCTCATCTATTCTTGACAGGGCCAATCTTCTGACACTCACCATGCCTGTGAAATCAGCAATATTTATTCTAATAGCATGCTGGCAGAATAAGACAGATGTCTTTAAAATAGAAAAAGATTATCAATGAACTCACTGGGTTGTTACCAAGGAGATACTATCTATTCCTCAAATAACTTCTTCAAAATGAAGGCATATCTTCTGTGATAAAATACGGTCTTTGGAAAGCAGTAAATCTTTTTTAAATATTTGCCAAACTCAAACTGTGTCCTGAAACTGGACTACCAATTCTGAAAACAGAGGCCAACACTAAAAGTTGGCTTTTTTTTGAGGCCATCTGGACAGCAGATTCTTGGGTTGAGAAAGGTCAACCCAAGAGGCAAACAGTGCACCCCCTTACAGACTTCCGTATGCTCATTAGCACGGCATTCTAAATCACAGAAGTCCAATTTAGTGTCCTTCACATAGCAGAGACTAAACGTACCTCATTTCTTTTTTCACCAATGAAATATGCAGCAACATGTGCCGGAAGCACATTTTCCAGCAAAAGCCTGTTAACATTCTCCATTGTTTCAAACTGTTCATGTTCTTTTTTAAACTTACTCTTCCACAGACAATCCAGTCGACAGTAATAGTCAATCTGCAAAGGGACAAAGTGTGATAAATTAAAGTCATATAATATCCTGATGGAAAATATTAATCAATTTCTTTCAAAAAACAGCAATAAAGTTTCTTCCAGGCCTTTTGAGCTCATACAGTTACAAAAAACGTGCTTTGAGAATGAAGGTCAGAGAAATACGAAGCAGACAGTACAAACACACGGGGTGTATTTACCAAAATGACATTTTAACAATACAGTGATTATTTTTATCTTAAATTACTGCCTTTATTTATAACTAATATTGACATTAAAATAGAGATAGATTCAAAGTGGAAGAATTTTAAAGTTGTGACTTCTGTAATGCAAACTGTTGAAAAATATAAAAATGTTCCCACCCCTTCACAGTAAAAAGTTTTACATTATCTGTAAGTACGAGTGAGTATGTTATCTACAACCAAGTACAAGAATATATTAAAAATATGTACTCATTTACTCATACACATATAAAATATGTACTCATATTAAAATACATATTCATTTAGAGCACAATTTCAATGAACAACACTTTTGCATTTTATTTAAATCAACTTATTGCAGGTAAAAGAACTAACCTACTGCTTTTTAAATACATACCTGTTTTGCAAGTAAAATCAGTGTTATGTAAAACAGAACCAGATATAAATTAGTCATTATCCTTGGCTCTTTGATGAAAAGCCTGAAAAACAAGAAAGCAATACAAAGTCATCTGTATCGTTTAAGAAAATCCACATGATTAAGGGTTGCGGGGTAAGAGGAGAGGAAGAAGAGCACAGCAGACGAGGGTGTCCATGCTCAGACATCTACCACTAATGCCATTGATTATTTGTGCCAGTGGCTATATGGTTATAGGCCCTATCCTAGCAATGAGAAAGGATTATCATTCAATTCAGCACATGAACTGTGTTTCCCATAATGACAAAATGGGTGCTGAAATTTTGTTTAGTAGGTGTTGTAGTGAGGTGTTCAAGTAAACATGGCTTTATCATAATGGAGCCACCTTAATTTCCACTGCACCAAGTTGCAGCTTTCCACCCCACGCTGCCCCACAAAAACATAGATAACACAACCTGGAAGTAGGAAAAGAAAATTTCATATATGTGGGAGGAAAGATGATAACAAATAAAAAACTGAATTGCTAAATGTTTTCAATTGCTAAGTGAATTGCTGAAGACAGCCATTAGAGATCACACTTGTATATAGTTTCACACAAATCTGAGTGGCCACTCATATTTCATGGTAAGATTAGTCTGCCTTATCACATCTATTAATTTTCACAACTGCATCAAACTAAATTATCATTACATGAATAGCCTGGGCTAAATTAAGAGCTCATTTAGGCTGTTTTAAGCTGTGCTGACAGCTCATAGACTCTGCAAAATAAATTCTTCCTGATCTTCAGCTATGAGACTATGCTGAGAATCTGAGACAAACTTACAAATGAACAATAAAACCCTTTCACAAGATTTCTCTTAAGTATTTTTATAGTTTCTTCAATTAGATTTGCTGTTACTTTTCAAAATACATGCAGTTAGTAAGGCAAATGAAGAGTTCACTGTCCTACTGACTAGCAAGGTCTCGCAAGCACACCTTGAGCTTAGCAAGGCTTTTCTTCATAGTTTAACAGAAGATCAGCCTTATTATGAGATTAATATTCTACCCCTTAGCCTTTAACTTAAGCTGAGCTTTCAGAAGCCATATTAAAGATTTTTTCTGAAAAAACACTTTCTTTAAAAAAAAAAAATTAAAAATCCATATCATTAACTTTACAGAAAGGTTTTTCATGCCCAACTTACATGATTTTGATATTTCAATATTCCTCTAAGTGTACAGAAATTTAACACCTTTAATAAAACATTATTCTCAATTATAGAAAACTTTACACTGCACCTGGTACTGTTGCCATAAAAGCTCAAATTTCTGTGCTGAAGGGTATTGAAAATGATGAGGTACACAGTCACAGCAATGGACAGGAGGAGAACTTTGAGTTCGAAGCTCATTTGAAGAAATACTGAGCAAGCGATGAACGCCAGTATGCAGCAGTAAGTGTAATACTGTAAAAGAAGAATTGAAAGAGCAGTTGCATTGTTCAGGCTTTATGTCTAAGAGGCCTTCAAACCATAGCAAATGTTCTAAGTTCACAATCATTATAATTTAGATATAAGAAATTATGATCACTTGCTAAATACACTTAATTTTATTTTTTTTTTAATTGCACTAAAAGGCTGAACTTAATTCTTTCTTATTTTTTTTAGTTAAGGCAAATGAAAAGCTTTAAAGAAAAAGCATCACACCAACATAAGCAGTGTCAGATAAAAACTGAAGAGCATTAAGAATTTACCTTCTGAAGACTATTAATTTAAGCAATTATTTATTTAAAGATCAAGACTAACCTAAAGGAGGTTCATAGTCCAGTGAAAACACTCTGAACCAGGAACTCCAGCATTCTGGCTCTATTCTGGACAGCACTCCCCTTTTGTAACCTTAAGTAGATACCATATTCCCAGCTCTTACACCTGTACCATGGGAAGACCATGACCTGCTGCCCAACCTTAGACACAGCTTCTTCGTAAGCATTTTGATGCCCACAGGCATTATCAAGCTGGGGCCATTATCCAAGGGAAATACTGCAAAATCTCCCAGAGAATCTCAGTTCAAGTATGGTGTCTGCTCCAACCGGGAGCATTGAAACTGCCAGGTGGTACAGAGCACGCTGTGCAGGCAGGATTGCTACCTGCAGCCCCAGGCGCAAGTATAAGACACTGAGCTAGCACACTACAGTCTACAAACAACTCCAAAATTACCTCAGCTTCTGCTCCATAAGAATTTATTTCTCTTTATGTACAAAGCACAGATTTTCATTCACAACAGCACAGACCTACCACAGACCTGAGAGATTCTTAGCTAAACAGTTCACACTTCTGCTGAAGTGAATGAAATCAGAACAATTTATGGAGCAATTCAGGATCAGAGCCCATATAGTCTTCTATTATATCAACTCTGTCACCCTAAAGGCATTGAGTTTAACTTCCAAAAGGTAATGAACACTCGAAACTTATAACCCTGATGCCAAACCTCTGAAAAAGAAACCACTACCTAGAGAATGTTGACACAGGTCTGTTGGCCATTTAAGGCCTTTCCTTCTATCAAGATTCTTTACTGGGACAGTTGCAAGTACAGGTCTCACCTCCCGGACTTGAACATACTCACCCTGTTCTGCTGCTTTTTCCTCAAACTTTTAGATCTACTTTTAAGTCTGAAATTTCAAAAAACTGCAAACCCATACTTTATTCAGCACAGCAACAGCAGCTGAGGCATCTTGATTTCATGAAGAACTTTTCTGTTGTCACATACCTAAAAAAGCTGGTTTATACAGCAATAGACCCTGCCAGCTGTCAGTAACATATATAATATTCAAAGGTCTGGGTTTTAAAGTAACATGTATTCACTACTTACAGTTTCTTCAATGCAGGATTGAGTTGTGTTTCCAAAAGGCTGATTTACAGACATGCAAGAACAGAAATTACCAGATGAGTACAATGTGCATTATGTATGTGTAATTTATCTGTTACTGTAAGGACTTGAATGAAAGGGCCCTCATGCAACCTGCTGCACTTTGTTCACAAATATGTCCATTATCTAAGGGGCAGCCAGATGACAAAGGAGCATCCCAAACATTTGGATGATCTCAAAATAGAATGCTAGTTTGGAATTAAAGAGGTAAAAAAATGAAGCCCCCAGAAATAATCCTTTTATGTCACTAGCAAGTGATGAACCTATCCTTACTGAAATGCTCAAGAACACCTTTCAAAGGTGTTGAGTAACCAAAATAAGCCAAGATTCCAGCTTTATCCATGAGTACTCCAGACTTCTGAAAAATCGCGAAAAGATGCACAGTAAAGCCATAGCTAATTGTAGAAACTATCCCTAGGACTACCTTGTGGCACACGTAAGTCTTTGTGTTCAATGATTTAAAAATTCTGCCTTTATAAAAAGATTAAAGATATCAAAATGCTGCCATCCATCTGTATTTTACACACCATCCAAGACTCATTTTAATCTTAGAAATGAAGACAGTACTCACATAGGTGGTGGCACATGGGTCATTTGATCCAGTAAAGTTTGCAGGTTTGTTCCCTTCAGTGGTCTTGATTTATTGGGGAAAAAAGAATAACAGAACCATCTTACAAACTTGTTAGCAGGTAGTCACTAATGTTAAGTTTTTCTCCATATATTATGCAATGAGTCCTGATCTGATGTTTCAGTGTTACTGCAATGTAAGTGTTGAAATACTGTGATATCCCATACAGCTGTAGTAAACATATGAACACACAAGGTGCAAGAAGGTTAAAATTGCTGAGTACTTACTTATCTTTTCATTCAGGCTGACGTTTCACATTATGACCACGCTCACCTAGGAGCTAACTAGTGTAAGCATGTGGTTCTGTCTCACCCCTGGGTTCACAGCTGCTGTTCCCATTTTCTTCCAGGCTGTCTATGGTTGTGTCATGGTTTAAGCCCAGTCGGTAGCCGCTCGCTCACTCCCCCACCTTTTCTTCCCCCCCTGCTTCCATAGGGATGGGGAGGAGAATCAAATGAATGTAACTCCCGCAGGTTGAGACAAGAACAGCCCAGTAACTAAGGTATAATACAAAACCGCTACTGCTACCACCAATAATAATAAGGGAAATAAGAAGCAGAGATAATATGAAACTAAAAGGGGAAAATAAAACAAAAAACACAATACAATTGCTCACCACCCGCTGACCCGAGCAGCGATCTGGGCCTTCTGGGTGACTACTCCCAGTTTCTATACTGGGCATGACGTGCTGTGGTATGGAATACCCCTTTGGCTAGTTTGGGTCAGGTGTCCTGCCTCTGCTTCCTCCCGGCTTCTCGTGCCCCTCCTCACTGACTGTAAAGTCCTTCATCAGGATAAGCACTACTGAGCAGCTAAAACATTGGTGTGTTATCAGCATTGTTCTCAGACCAAAGTCGAAAATACAGCACTGCACCAGCTACTAAGAGGAAAAATTACGGTTACAGCTGAACCCAGGACAGGTGGTGTTCACATGACACCACTGTGAGCCCATTCAAGGACCTAAGCCAGCAGAAAAACAACCCTACGAAAGAAAACTAAGCATTTTCTGCAGAGTTTCAGAATAAACTCTCCATGGAATCAGAAGAACGGCAGATGAAGCACGAAGGATTGGAAGGACATCACTTTTAGTAGCTAGTTATCAGATAGTAGTTTAACTGTTAACATGATGTATCACATACAGCTTGTTTGAAAAAAAATAGCACAGGAGAGTGGTCTTGAGCATGAGGTAACTCCAAAGGGTTTTTTTTCAAATGCATATATCCCAGGTTCAATACAATACTCAGACTACAGCTAAAAGACAGATGCCATTTGCATTCTAGTCTAGCAGTAACTACACACAATATCTCAGGTTTCAAGAGAGTCAAGCTATATTCTTCGATCCCTCATCTGCATTAATATTGCAAAAGCAAGTAGTACAGTAAGCTGCTTAACACTTCTACCAGCTACAGCCACACATTTAAACCCACATTAAGAAAATTGGAAGAATATCTTAGTGATGATGATTACCATCAATAGTAATTATAAATTCCATCTTAAAAGCAAGAAAAGGTGGTGTAAAACAGAATTCAAGTCTATCACATGCACTTTTAGTTCTACAAACTGGAGGTTTTATTTCTAATGCTTTTACATGTCACCATGCATTATCCTTGTGTAAATCAACTCATGTTAAAAATCAGTTATTAGAAAAAGCAACAAAAACCCCAGTACTTGATGAAAAGAATACAGGAAGTTACTTAAACTGTGGATGTTACAATAAATTCGCAGAATAAAGATAAAGTGACTACTTACGAAATTAAAAATGGCTATAATCAGCAAGGCACCAATAGTGATGACTGCTAAGGGAAGCCTGAGTAAAGGCATTGTTTCCACCTTTTCTGAGATAGCACAAAGGTGGCGCAGGAAAGGCCAACGTTCTGAGCAGCGCTTCTGTAAACAGAATTAGGTTGGTTTAGTAGCATACGTAACACTTTGATACATGGGCAAAAAGAGTTCTAAATATAAGACACTTTTTTCCTGCAGGAGATTGTCAAGAGTCTTCACTGGAATCCTAATTTAGAACCCTGAAGCTAGGCATTCACATCAAATGCCTAATGTCTTTTCACATCTGAAAATAGAGATAATGCTTCCCTATTTCAAAGAGGAATTCTTATTCTTTCTTATTTCAAAGAGAAATTCTGAATTTCTGCTTTAAAAATACAAATTATGATCTGATTGAAAGCTCTTGAAACATGTATAAAAATATAGCTATAACCTATGGTTTTGGGTTGTTTTTTTTTTTTTTTTGTTATTGAGCTGTAATGTTGTATCTGGAACTACACTGTCAGATGACTAAATTGAAACCAATCATAGATGGTCCCCTTTCTTGTCATCTTTATATCCTCCACTTGTTGCTACATAGAAAAACATCCAGTAAAGCACATGCGTTTCATGATTTCAAGGATTATTCAAGGTGCTATTCCAAAACACTCCCAGTGTAAAACTCGAGCCCAATGCAATTACGGTGCTGGAATTCTCTTTTTCTTTTCTCCATGTGTTTTTTTCATATGTAGAAAACACACATGCACACGTATACACACACTTCTCCTTCTTTCTCTCCATAGACATATATATAGACAAACATATAAAACCCCATCCATACATATATATAAAAACATAATACATACATAAAATCCATACATACTATATAACTGTACTTTAAAATTAATCATAAAACTTTGTCCTGTGTACAGAGTGCAATCATACTGGTTTCTTCTTTCCCTTTTACACAACTTGATCATGGATTTGTAAGAGACACTGCTTTCTGTACCAGTTTTTCTGCAAGAGCACCACCACCACTGTTCTGTAGGATGATGGTGGCATGTTCTCAACAGAACATCAGAATTGCCTCCCACCCATGGTTTAGCACAATGTAGATTTGACAAGTGTAAGGAACTTCCTAGAATCCCTTCCATCTCCCACCCCTGCCTCCAGATAATTCTCAGAATGGAGAAGGATTTTCTTTATTTTGTATCATCTAATGCTATGTCACTATGAGCTGTCTGTATGATACTATGTATTATTTTATACAGTAATTGCATACATTTAATAATGCAAAGAAAAAGGAACTACAAATGCAAAGTGGCCTAATTGATGTAATGGTGAATTTGGAATTCTAAAAGCTGTGAAATTGTTGCCAATAGATTATTCATGTTTGTAATGTTCATTGGACTTTATATATTATTATCAAAACTTGCATTTAAACTTATTTTTATTTTCATATTCTTTTCAGTGTAGCAAATATCAAATTTAAAACCAAAACTACTATTAGGGACAAACATAAAAATAAAAATAAATTTAAAAATTTATTTAAGCCCACTCAGCGGGTGTTAATATCTTCCTCCTACCTGTCTATTCTGGCACCCAAAAAGTCTGAATTACAGTGAGAATTTTCAGACACGAAAATCTGTTTCAGGCAATAAAAATCTTCTGGTAACTCCTATTGGAATTAACAGCTTAATTCATCATCCTAAAAGATAGAGCAAGGTGCCGAATTACCTCTTATCTGCTTATGAGAAGAGGAAACTTTTTTTTGTTTTAAATAAACTTACCATACATTTCTCAGCAAAGCATACAAACAAAATGAGTACAATGATGACTGCCACAATGCCAAAGGAAATTCCCAGTTTTGCAGTTCTGAACAGAAAAGAAAGCATAAAACAAACCAGTGTTAAATGGGGAGAGAAGGGGAGAATCAAACCACAACTCAGACTAACATTTGCTGACAGTGTTTCTCTAAATTGAAACAGAATTTTTCTTGTAATAGCACTGAATGACCATTACATTACACAGGTTATTGTTGCTCTGTTACATAAATACTAATTTAGGGTGTTCTACTACTCAGTGACAGCCTGAACCCCTATTGCTTGCATAAACCACATGGAAATTGCACTGCAACAGTCATGAAAAACAAATACACCATAAACTTCAGAATTATCAAACATTTACTTTCTCAGAGTGTGAGAAGCAGCTCAAAATTCCCTCCTTGTATCTCTACAGACAAAAGGATCACTGAACATATTTAACCAGGTAATCCCATTTTTCTATGGCTTACTCAATATGCTCACAGCCAACTATTCTTGTAAAATAGTATCTCACACTTAACTGATCATCTCCCTGTGTGCAGCAAGCAAAAACAATGTTAAAGAAACATTTCCATTTTATTTTCATCCTGATATCTAGGCAGTTATACCAACAACATGACTGCATTCATTTATTAAGGTGTAAATTAGTCCTAAGAGGTGTATGTTTCTTAAACGTAAACCTTCAGTAACTCCAAAAGACTGTAAAAAGTTTCATGCATGTGAATTTCACTTTAGCTACAGGTTAACTTGAATTATAAATTATTAAAATATTGACACTTACTTTGGCATTATGAACATCTGTATCAGAAATATACAGAGGAACACAAAACTGGCACATGCGAAGTAACTCTTCAGTTTTAGAATAGGAATGGTGCGATACTGAAACACAAATTATAATAAATGTTAAAGATGATTCCAGGCTGGTTTAAAATTCTATTACATTTTTGTGATGATACAGATATGCAAATTTATACTGTATCATTAAAAATATACATAGAACTAAAAGGGAACAAAAGAAAACCACCAAATAAAATTCACTCAAACATCAGTCAAGAAAAAATGCCCAAGAGGGAAATCCACCAAGCACGTAAATCAGCTCTTCACAGATGCACAGCCAAAATCCTTACAGAAAATGGATATACACAAAAGTAAACCTAAAGTGTGTATGTCTACATACAGTGCACCACAACACATTAAACTAAAGAACAAGTGTTGAAACAGGAAAAGTACACTGGACCTAACAAATAGCAGTATTATACTTGCAGTGAAACAACCACAGAAAGCGAAGTATTTTCAAAGTTATTTCATTATGGATGTAGAAATAATTTTTTGTTTGGTTTTTGGGGTTGGGTTTTTTTGTTGTTGTGGGTTTTTTGTTTGGGGTTGTTTTTTCTTTGGCAGGGAGTTGTTTTGGTTTTTTTAATCTTATTACTTCTGAAAGAAGTTCTTCATACCAACATATCTTCATATTCAGTTGTCAAACTCCTACTTACTCCTTTAAGGCAAGAATTTAATCACAGATTAAAGACAATCTTCTTTAATTGACAGAATTAGCATTCTCAAGAAAGAATGGCCAACTCAAACGAATCCTGAAATGTGCTTTCCATTAGTTGCCAAAAATCTCTGGATGTGCAGTCACCTCCAGAATCCAGTTTCAGAATGAAGATAGTTTCAAATATATTCTTATGCTGTTCTGAAGCACAAATCAAAGATCGAAAAATGATTATTTTGAATTTACCAACCTCTTTTTCAAGACTGGGTTCTGCAAAAATCAGTGAAAACCCACAGAAGTCATCCGATCTGCCGCACCACGGACTGCATTCAGAGACACACATGTTACAAAATGTATGCAACAGGCCAAGGAGAGTATGCAAAAGCATCACTGTACTTGAAACACCACAGTGTACAGGGTGAGAATGCCACTGTTTTACACACATTTGACAGTTCTGCAAGCTCTTTGTGTTTCATAGCACAAGAACAGTTACATTACCATGTAGCTGACAGGCAGATCCAGAACACTCTCACAGACTCCAGCATCTGCCAGTTACATGCAAAATGTAACCCCAGGCCTTGCTGAAGGTTTACAAATAGCAAAGTATAATAGCTGGTGTTAGAGATGGCTCACAGCCTCCAAAAACTTCCCCTAAATAATATCAGGCCCCCACTAGGAATAGCTGAGGTGCAGTGTTAACAGCTTTGCTGTAATTTAGATGAAAGAAAGAATTTTTCTTCTTGAATCCACTGTTTTACATTTGATAGCAATTTAAATACTGTTTTAAATTAAAAACTAAACAAAAACCAACCACAAACAGCATTGCCTGTGTTTGTCCACTTTTAAATGCAAATATAGTGCCAAATGCACCACCTGCTACTGATACACCACTTACCTTCCATGAATCAGGCACCAAGGCAACTATATTATTACCCCCAAAAGTGTGGTTTTACTTTATACACAGGTTTTGTTCAGTCCTGCACCCAATTTCCTGACACTTCTTATTTTAATAAGCAGAACACAAACATTAACTTCCTATGCCATCCGCACTGCAGCTCAGCTCATTACTTCAGACAGTGCTCAGAAACAAAACAATTATATTGCTATTTCATAGCACCCCACATTGAACAGCTATAGTAACCATTGGCTTTTTGCCCTAATAATGCATTAATACTCTCTTGATACTCAAATTAAAACCAAAAAGCAACTAAAATAATTAAAAAACAAAAAAAAAAAGGCAAGACAAAAATCCTGGTAACTATTCATTTTTAAGAAGTAAATTTTTTATCTAGGCTTAAAATTGAGAGTGCAGATTATTTTCAAAGAAAAGATGAAGAAAACAATAAGATACTGCATACTTAGTTGAACTGAGGCCCTCAATGGTTGACATCATTTCATCATAAATATCTTCCTCTATCCTCCCCTTCTGAGATGAATTTCTGGGAACGAAATGAAGTCCATGACACAAATGCTATTCAGAAACAGGGAATGGCTACAGAAGACCACACTTTCAAAGCACATAAGTGGGAGAAGCTACCACAGAGACATTAAACAAGAATGCTCCAAACTCATAAACATACATCCATAAGCATTTTACTGAGCATTTCTCTAGTTATTCAAACCGTGCATTTTTTGAGACAATATTGTGATAAACTAAGAGGATTTTTGACAAGTGAGAATCATTTACTTGGTTAACTCAGCAGTACAGATACCATTGTAAGCTTTTCTACATATAGTGGCCAATTTTTTTTTTTACAGTATGATGGCATACATTAGTATTACTAACTAAAGGCATTATCTTGTAAAACATAACATATTTACTTATAATACAATGATAATAATTATTTATTTGGTACTATAATGCTTATAAACAAATCTAGCATTTCTGAGTAAGAAAACTAAAAGCTGAGGTAGCACAAACAGTTACAACATAGACATGTATACCACATGAGATGTCTTGATTTGTTTACAATGCTCTATAGGTCTCTTACTTCTCTACTCCCTTCCATCTTGCTACAGGCCATAAAGTAAAATACAACCTGAATGACTGAGTTGCCAGCAGGATGGAAGACGGGGGAAGCTCCTGTTAAGAGTCTAACAGTAACAAACGTCATTTGAGAAGTCTTTTAAAGGCCAAAGATTTAGCTTAACCTTTCTAATGCAGCAATACTGTACATGCTGACTAACCAGCCAAAATATCACATGCTTACAGTACCCTTAACTGCAAGAGAAGCACAGGGTCGCATATTTTAAAAGAAGAAAGTATTTGACAAACCTATCAGAGTTTCTCTGGCGCCCAGTGGAACACAAAGGTATTTCCTAAATCAAATAAGGAATCAAGAATAAGTTACACGCTCAGTAAATGGCAAACAACTATTGAAAATAAACTTCAGGAAGCTGCCAAAGCCATCTTTATTTAAAAACAAAAATCAAGAACCCTTCTCAAGTAGAAAAGTTTATTAATATCAATCCTTCCAACAATGTTCTCTGCTTTAACAATTGAGTGTTTTCTGATCAAAAAAATCATTTAAAAATAATTGAACAGATATTCCCTTTTATTTTTCTCCACAGCCAGAGAAGTAATTAACATCAGCAGAGGCAAGTAGACTGGAAGCCACTTCCCCAAACCTGAATGGACCAATACTTAATTTAACGCTTACTACAGCCATCTGTCCACAGATAGTAGTACAGCCTTGCTGCGCCTCCAGGAGCACACCTGAAAGCATGCACATCTCATTCCTGATTTCAGGAAGAAAAATAAGTTTTCTTAAATTTTAGAATCTTAACAATCTTAAGAATTCATCATCTTAGAAATCCTTTACTGATACAATCCTGTTGCAGGTAGAACCTGTGGACGGACTGTTAATTTTCTATACATTTTAAGTAAATATTGCATGCATCTGCAGGCTGGAATAAATAATCTTTTTTCCAAAACCACATGTAGTGAGTGAGCAGGACCCAAAGATGGAAAAATGTCGGGGGGGTGGGGGGAGAGAGATATTGTCAAAGTTTTACTTTGAAGGTTTACTGTGAGTATAGCATTCTAGAGAATGCCCGAGTCTGAATACTGTTAAATTCTGGCTGAAGTAGTTGTTTCAGAGATATCTTCTTAGTTCTGTGTACATATTTAACACCATGAGTAATAGCAGAATTTCAGCCACAAAACTCATATCAGATTTCAAGTGTCACACCATAGACACAAGGAGCAGCTTGCAATTTTAAGATAAGAATTGCTACTTTAAACCTCACCTTTCTTCGCTTTCCTTGTGAACTTGAAGAGTCACTGCTCACGCTCTCTCTGTGGTTCAAGTGGGCGAAGGGCCTGGCTGCTCCCCATGACTCTAAATAACGTGTCATCCGAACAGATGCTCGCATCTTCAGCCCATCATTAACTCTCGTTTTAGGGAGATTATTATTTGATATGCATTGTTTGGACTAACAGAAAACACACACATTTAAAAACCAGAAAATAACACAAATTACAAAGCAATGAAGCTCTGTGTACTTTGGTAGTTTAATCTATTTAGTAGGACCCTAAACACATACCAGCAATGTGTCAGTCAACCTCAACTCCTTTATCTCATTTCATTAGTGTGAGCTAAAGCAGATCATGACATAATTAATTTGCTCCAGCTGCCTTTACAAGCCTTCACTTGTAACATTGCAACATTCAAACTTCCTTTTTTACTTACAACAATGTGAGAGACTGCAGGATCTTATGAATAGATACAAATTCCTTGCAGTCAGCACCTCACCAGGGGAAGATTCCCAGTTCCTGAGCTAGGGTGTATCAAAACAGTGGTTAGAAGCAGATCCCACAAATTACAGACTCAGCATTAGATTATATCCCTGCGTCACACGTGATAAGTTAGACAATATATACAGGGCATACAGCAATACCCTTGTGGGTCTACAAGGAAGCTAAAAATGCAGAATAAACCAATATGTCAATCACTGGTTATCCTCTAACATTTCACAGGTATCTTCAGGTAAGCAGGGGCCATTTTAATAGCGTTAGATCCTCATTCTGAGCATATGTGCTGTGTAAATGTAGGGAGGGTTGCAGTGTTGACTACATAAAACATGCAACAAAGATAAGATTGTGTTCTTACTAATTAAAAGTGGCTCTATGCTGTTCCTTCCTGTAAAGCTCCTGAAGGAAAGAAGTTTGTCATTTTCATTCTTTTTCCGTTTGAAATATTTTACTTATCAACCACAAGCTGATTCAAACCTGCAATACTAAAGGTGTTTGTGGTTACCAGGCTCTAAAGGGACAACCAACAGTTGCTAGCTCTACACTCACATCCAAGATAGTGAGGAAGATGAAGTCAGAAGCTATTTTACAGGGAATATCTTTCTGAAGGCGGCCACAGAGTACAGGTATTCTTTCATGACTTCATTCCACCCTTTAACCTGGATTTGTGAGAGGTACACTTCACATAAACATAGTCAAATACGTATTTTTACTCTAAGTGGACCACATAAGAGGTTTCAATATAACACTTACTACCATCAAGCTAAAGACATCTCATAAAACTGTAAGTTGTGCTTTCAGATCTGAAGTCCAAAATCCGAGCTACTCAGACGGCTCATACATGCTTTAATTCTGTTGCTGAATTTAAAAGGTGTATGCACCACAGACACCTATGTCCTTAAAATGTATGTATATATTTGAATAAATACACATTTAAAAATAACCACATACCCTTGGATCAACAACTAAGTAGGTTTTGATATTCATGGATTCAAGGTAAGGATCCCTCAGGTGTCCATTCCCTTCTTCTACTTCGTATGCTTTGCCTAGGTGATTCAGTGTTGCTTCAGTGATGTGTACACGGCTGAGAAGGGGAAAAAGAACAAGAGACCCAAACACTTACAGAAAGGTCACATTAAGCATTTCATTTACATTTCAATGGCCACTGCTGACATTTCTCCTTTTCAGCCATCTTGTGATTTGGCAGCCAACTGCAAAATCCTGCCAGTGCTCAAAACCATATTTGCAATCCTTTACTGCAGTTCTTCACAGGGCATCTTTCATAGCAAGAATGCTGAAAAACACTTCCAGAATGGGATAGTATCAGTATAAAATTAAACTGAAATAAGCAGAGACATATAAGAAACAAGAATAAATGTGATCAAAGGAAATCTGATCACTGACAAGATGGACTTGCAGGCAGGTTGTTTCAGATGGCAAGAGCTGCGGAGAAAGCTCACAAACAAAGCACAAGGGAGGACTGTCTCAAGTTAGAAATGCATGAGGAGAGGAGATGGTTACAAAAGTCTGGAGGGAAAAACAGAAAAGGTTTTTTGTCAGCTAGGAGGATAATTCTGAAAGCCTGTCCCATCTGAAACAATCGGAGGAGAGCATAGCACAGCAACAACAGCAGCACGCTTCTAAGGGGAGCAGCTAGTATTTTTCTGTACCCATTCACACTTTCCCTTTAACATTACTTAGTTCAGTATCCTGAATCATATAGTTCCATATAAATTACAAGCAATATCTTTCCATAGAATTTCTCAACAAGAGACCTGTATTCATTAAATAGCATTTCATTTCTTAAATTCTACTTTATCTTCCCATGGCTTCTCTCACTTTTTTTTGGCATGGAGGGGTTAAACACTGCTGCCAGTCCTACATCTATCCGCACAGAGCTGGAAAGGAACATTCCCAGAATGGAAGCTGACAGAGTGCAGCACTCTCGCCTCACTACAGAAAGCAAGGGAATCACTATCCCTTCTTCTGCTTCCTTATACTGCATGAAGGTTTGCCTGGAGATCATTTAGCCAAGACCTGGAGACCACTGGCTGTGGCTTCCCACAAGGAAGACCAAAAATTCCTCAATACTTTTAAAGCCAAAAGGTAAGAGTTCTGGAATATAGAAGATGCATGGTTTTATTTGTCTACTGGTAATTGCCTCAAAAAAAATGTGGTCTTTAATTGTTACCCTGATTATGCAGTTTTGCAATCAAGGTGAATCTTCAAATCTGAAATTTTAAAGCTTTCTCTAAAGCATCACTTTCTCCCACAGAGCCTGGGTGATGTCTGTATGAACTGAGCCTTGGAATAGTCATGTACTGCAGCGCATTTTTTTGTGTTTTTCTGCTTACCTCAAAAAGCAGTACATGTGTTCACTATCCCCATGTTCCATTTTACCAAGCTTTCTCCCCCCTTTTCCCCAAATCACACACCACTGTGGGACATTTCAGATCCTACTGCAAACTTCTTCCCGTTTAAATTACTGTAACGAGGATTTCTCAGCAGTTACTAACACTCACTGGATTCTGAGATCAGTACATAACCAAAAACCGCTATTGCTAAAGCTGCCTCTCAGAGGCAAGCTGTAACACACATTATTGCACTTCCCATGCTAGTAAAGAGTACCTAGCATACTGCATTCAGTTTCCTATGCTTACAGGCCTGAGAATACCATGTTCTGATCTTTTGGGCATATACATATTAGGGAGAATGGGTCGTAAATGCATTTTTAATTTTGGTTTTATGCTAGTCCTTTCTGTTTTGCTGCTGTATTACATTTTTAGGAATGCAAATAATTTTTAAAATTGGAAGGAAGATGAACAAGAATACTCTGTCAATGGAAAGAAAATATTTATAAAGTAAGAAGTTTTCCTGCATCCTTTCAAAAGTCTTTAGAATTCCTTCATTTATAGAAACCCAAAATATACATACTTTATATTTTAAATAAAAACCTGCAACTGCTCCTAATGACAAAACTGCTGCTTCCAAAGGGGCAGGACTAGCTAACACTGGAATGGGGAATCCCAGACACATCTTTTTTTCCGCAGAGCAGGAAACAAATACATTTGCATAGTGAATAGAAACCCTTCCTCCCTGTGAGACTCAGTCTTCCACAAGTCGAAGGTTTCCTTTGGCTGATTTTGAACCACATGGTACGCGAGTGCTAGACACATATAGGTATAGGAAGCATTGTAATGCATTGCAAGTGTAATGTTTCTGAATCAGCATGCCAACCAGCTTTAATCTTTAACAGACTATCAAACATACGCATGCAGAATGTAATAGAATAACCAAAGTTTCCAAGATTAGGCAATGGTCCTAAACATGACTAAGAAAATGATATTTTCATACCATATTCAGTCATGTTGTTTGCTTTACCAACAAAAGAAACTTTACAACTCTGTATTTGTGTTTAATCATGCTGAGTCAACACACTAAAACACTCAACGTGGATGGTATTGCAACTGTTAACCAAAAAAAAATTAGTTTACTTTCTGTTTTGGCCACCAATGCAAGAAAATAATTTTATATTTATATCCCCTTATTGCTTTGCAGAAATTAACTTTTAAGTTACAAGCATATAGCTAAAAGCCGACTGAAGCATAGAAATAATAAGAAACCCTGTTACGTCCCTGGTTAGGATCACTTTCCAAAAGAAACCAATACTTTGATGCTTAAACATACACACACATGAATGTCATCCAATTAATAACTACTAATTTGCACAGACTGCCAAAAACCTACAAAATCATGGGCTTATTTGGAATGAAAAAAGGGAAACTTAATACGCAGGGTGAGGGGGAAGAGGGAAGTTCCTTATCTTAGTTCTAATCCCCAAGTTCAATTTAGGATATAGTATATTTTTCTAAATGCTGGTGGTTTTTAAAAGCACTTGTATCTGTCATTTTCAATGAGCATCTTTAAAAAAAATCAGCATGAATACGCGTCTCAGACCTAATCCTCTGCACTGCTGAGCAGCACACAGCATGTTACATTACTGCTTTGCCTCAAGCTCTTCCACTCAGGACCACTCTCCTTCCTGTTCTGCCCATGACAAATGCTACAGAGAGAAGATGCAACAACCAACAGACCCAAACTCTCCTTGCTTGGATGCTCCTTGTGAGGCTACATTTTAGTTTTTGTGTTGTTCACTTCTTTTTTTTGGGGGAGGGAGGAGAGGTAGTTATGAATATAGAGTTGAACCCATCAATATATTAACAGAAACACTAGGTAAATATGCAGCTTTGTCTTGTCGACATAAGTAGCATATGTATTCTTTAGGTAAATTTACAAATATAGTATTATACCTGTGCACATGAATTAACTAAATCAACACAATGCACTGCTGAGGACACACAAGTTTCTCCAGTGAAGAGAAGGTCAAGAAAGAGTCGCTTGCCTAAGAATAGAATTTTACAGCCCACTGAAAATAGAATCAGAAAATATTAACATTTTACAGCCCCGGTAAGTACACATTTGTCCTATTGTCATCATCTCATTATGAAGATCTGTGTCATGGCACAGTTACAGTTTCAGACTCATAAACCAGGATTATAAAAACCATGATGACAGAGTGCATTAGCACTGACAGGGAAGATTCTCACCCAGGTACGCCAGAGGATTCCATACGGTTTGCTAAGGACACATCGTGAGACCAGACATCGTACTGCCACTTCCGGAGGCCAATGACACCACACAGCACATTCCCAGAATGAATGCCAACCCTCATGTTGATATCCACTCCCGTGGCTTCTCTCACCTGCCTGTGGAGGGAGGAGAGTATTAGAGAATAAGTTACACCTGTGAGTTTCTCTCCACCTCCTGGAGATCCCTTAAGATTTAGTCTCATTATACACTTAGTGCAAAAGACAAGAGACAAACTTACAACCCAGTGTGTAACTATTCAACTACAGCTAAGAAATACACTTTGAATTTTGACAAAAATTACTTTATTCAATATCTTCATAGCCTCAATATATTAAAGAGTCTTCTGTGCTATACTTACTTTATTGCTTCACACATGTCAAGTCCCATTTTAACACAATTCCTGGCATGAACCGGTAAGGACACAGGTAGTCCGGAGACACAGTAGTAACAGTCTCCCAGGATTTTTATTCTCATGCACTCATTCTCCTGTGAAATTATAGTAAACACATTTAACAGGAAAAAAAAGTAGTCTAGTGACACCAAAACTAGGACTTTTCTGTATCATTTTGAGAAAGTCAGGCTTCATTCAGTCCTTGTTAAAGCAAAACTTACTTGTCTTTTCCCACATCCAAATGCCTGGACATTGCTCAATGTCCAATGTAAGAAGAATGACCACTTCAAGCACTTCTGAAATACAATCATCTTGCTCGTTCTGACTTTATTTTTGAAACTGTGTGCAACTGAGAAACTATAAGTAAAAATAAAACTGTCACAGAATTTGCCATCCAGAGGATGAAATCTTCCTTTCCATTTTTTAATCTCTGTCTTTTTTAACACCTGAACTACAGGCAGTTTGTTCACCTTTTCCTCAATTTTTGCATGGCAGGCTCGTAAGTAACATTGCGCAGCATCCTGTAAGACCCACACAGGATTTAGAGAGAAGTGAGGAGTTAAGCTGCCCAACCTGGTAACTTTGCAGAAGCAGAATAGGACTTTTTGTTTCAAATATGACTGAAAAGGAAGCTGCATATACTACACTTTGCTATCGCTAATATGAAAAACATGCAATACTATCTGGCAGCAGAAAACTTTTTCCTAACTGTGCAACAGACGATACTGCTGCCTATGACTGCCTGGAAAGAGGAAAGGGGAAGAGCAAAGAGCTCCTCATACGGTCTTTTGCTAAGACATTATTGAAGAATTTTAACTACAAAGGTTGCAAGCAAGCCAGGGATAATTCTACAAGGCTATATAGTGTTTGACTGGTGAGTAGAGATGGCTTCATTTGAGCCAGCTCACACCCTCAGCTGCCCAACCCTCCCTGCTGTAGGAACAGCCTGGCAGTTCTTCAATCAACTCAAATATCAGCCCAAATCACCGGCAATTTATCAAACTAAGCTATTCTCCCTCATGAGTCAAAGCCTTAAGAGAACATCCGTCATTCTGCACCATGTTACTGACCGCTGCAGCAAGCAACAAGCTTACATGATCAGCAGGGGAACCCAGCCCTAGATTAGAGCTGTTAGACTTCAGCATCCAGCTCGGTGTCCAGGTTAGCCATCAACTTTTACTAGGTAAACCAGAGCCCACAACATTTTTACAGTATGGAAAAGATGACTGAGAACACTCCTTGGCAGAACAAAAATAGCTCAGAAAGCAGGAATCTCTTCTTACAGTTCAACCACAGAGTTGCAAAAGACCTTGACTCACTAAATCCAGACATTTTTAAACAGTGCAATTTGAAGACAGGAGAAATTGAAACCTACCGCTCAAAATCTGGAATCTTTTATATTTTTGTATGTGAGGAACCGTTGCAAAAAATTACCAGATAGGTTTAACCTCACCTTCTTCTTCAACATAAAAAACTCGTGGCACCTAAGATGAAATGGCTTATTCTGTGTGTTCTGAATAGCTGCTTCACAATAATACAGTATTTAGTATGACTCTCTTATTGGCCAATACTTTTGTTACAGCAACTGTTTACAGTAGTTTTAACAACCACCGAATTCATATACATACAAAGATTAGCAATGTCACTTAGTCAAAACCATTAACTAGGGTTTTAGCCAGGTTTTAGTCGGTGATATATTTAATATTTTATTCAGTGACATCCACAGAGGTTTAATTAAAGTTATTTCACTCCTCTGCTGTATCAATATTTTTGGAGTTTTTCCACTTTTTCTAAAAGAATTTCTAGAATTTCACAAGCCCAAGATTTTCCAAGTCCATTAATTGTCTAATTTACACTGAGTATATCCAAATACAGTAAATTATGAAATCAAAGCCACATCTTTAAACCATGGGAAGTTTTGACAGCTAGACACTCACTAGTCTTGACTTATGCTTTACCAATGTTAGATTTCTAGAAGCACAATTTGGGTTGGTTTCTGTTTGTTGGGTTTTGTCACATAGGATGCAACAAAACACAGCGTTTATTTTCCTAAAGCCACATTTGCCTCACAGTACTAACACAAAAATCAGTGGATATGACAGAACATACGCCTAGGATTAGGATCAGATTTGGGGAATAACAGAAGTCATCACACAGAGTCAAATCATGCAAACACATATATGATACAGTTCCTGTAATGTGAGAACTCAAAAACAGAGTCTGCAATTACAGTTGCAAAGAAATTAACCTCAAGGAACACTTGGAAGTTGAAGAACTACTGCCAGCCCGAAGGGTCAGTAGTGAGCGTATCTCATCACAGGGGCCGTTTTAATCACTTCATATTCTTACATTTTCCTGTAAGCACCCATTACTAATTATTACTCCTGAGTAAAGAACTCCTTGGTCTGATGCAGTATGACTTAATTTATGAATGTAAATGTGTGCCTGAGAGTTCTTCGTTTACAGAGCCAACAATCCTTCTTACTGAATACAGCAAAGCTTCTCGATAGAGCTTGTATACAGTACTTCTTCCAGCCCTATTACAACTATTTCTTTCCATCAGACAATTCCCTGAACAATACAGATAAACCTCCAGACTCAAGAATTAGAATTACAGTAACAGCTTGCTAAATGTCCCAATTTTGATATAAATTTTGCTGGAATGTGATTTTGCTAGTTAGCTTTAAAGCTAAAACAGTCTTTCCTTCCTGACTTCAGAAGCACTAACACCAACTGCCCCCTGTCTTGTGGAAAAGACAGATTTTTTTTCCAGTTGTGGCCTTTATCCCTACTGCACAACAAACTGCAACACCTACCTTTGCAATCTGATCAAATTTTCCAAAAAGTTCATTCAGCATCACTACTAGTTCCTTAGGAGAGCAGTCACTGGCAAGGCGAGTAAATCCTACAATGTCTGCATAAAGAATGCTAGACAAGAACAAAAGAGAAAACCAACGTAATAGAAATACGAAGATATGTCTATTCTACAGTTAGCTTAAATATTACAATGCATTTAACAGAAAGCATCTCTCTCCTTGGAAAACAACTCCAGAAAAAGGATTCAAGTATCTCAACTGATTAGAAGACAACACATTAGCTCATGACATGTTACCTTCCCACAACAGAAAAGAAGCTCATTCAGCCTGAAAGTCTACTTCCAAATTTTAATTTCACTGGACCATATACACTGTTAAGAATCAGCAGCTTACATTAATACAATTACTTCTAGATTTTGCACTTACCTAACATTTTGGTGCCTTTTTACATATAGACTATGGAAGTTATTGTCATGCATTTGCCTATTATCATTAGTTTCCTTTAGTCGCTCTATGATTGCTAGCTTCATTTCCATAGAGATATGAGCCGGCAGTATGGATAAAAGCAAATTTTCCTAAAAGGAGAGGGGGGAGGGAAAAAAAGTCAATGATACAAAATTCTGAACACAGTAAATTTGAAACTGCAGGATTTCAGTGACTGCAAGAAGGAATAGAAAACAAAAGAGACACCTTTATTCAAATAGCCTTTGAGTAATGCAAGTCAGGGTTCCCAGAAAAGGCTTTCACATTTCTGTTCTCAAAATCATGGACTTTACAGCTAAGTAAGGGTGTTGCCTTTTTTTCTTCTTTTGTTCCTTGAAACCTATATGTGACATCTCTCTGTAACTATGAGACACATCAAAATTCAGCATTCAGTACCACAATTTCAGAATAAATGAACATTTATTTTGCCCACCAATCTCAGTGTTATGCTAGCATTGTCCAATAAAGCTTCTAGTAAAAGCTTGTATTTTGTAGTGAAAACTATGTAGTATTGAAAACCCTGGTGAATTCTCAAATGCTGAAAAAGCAGCAACAGATACCAAAGTGTCGACACCATGCTGCTACAGCTTAAAGGAACTGATGCCTCTGAAAGAAAGTCTTTTGAACTGAGTGAGAATACAGACTCTTCAAAACCCACTTACATTGTTTGACTGTTCAGTGCACTGTTTTACACTGGCTTTGACTCAAAAGTCTTTTCTTCAAAGACAACCCTGCTAAGTTGCTGGGCAGAAGAGGAAGACAAAAAGAGAGTACTTTTAACCCAGGAAGGGCCCTGCCCCAGGGACAGAGTCACCAAAGAGGAAATGTTGCATGGAGCAGCTACAAGCAGGAACTTTTTCAGACGACATCACCAGCAAGGTCAACACATTGTGTAACTGAGTAAAATGCTGTCCTCTTGGACCAAATCTTTTCGGTTTTCTGTCCCTTTTTCCTGAATACCCAATGCAGCACTTTCAAAGGGCAAAAAGCCTGTGCCTGCCACCAAAATGAAATGCCTTGGGATCACAATGGGAGCCCTTGAGCATCAATTACTGTCCTACACTACGTATACACAACAATTTAGTTTGAGACTGCTCCCAGAAACAGAAACACCTCCTTCTCCTCCTCTAGCATTTTAATACTAGGCAAGTCAACTTCAGGGAGCAATTTAAACTGACAGCAGAGCCCAGTGAATGCAACAGGGCCACTTGAGGCTGACACATTACACAGTTTTCAAGGAAGTGATGATGAACCCTGAACTGCATTTCTCACATCATCTTCACAGAGGAAAATTGGGTAGCAAAAAGGAGACTCAAAATTGTGTGACAAATTACAACACAGATGAAAAGCAAGCTATCCATAGACTTCAACCATATCTACTCTTCAAACAAGCAACCATAAAAACCATGCAAGTTACCACATCACCCAAAGAATGAGAGCGCAGTGCCTGTATAAGCTGATCAGATGCTTCCCTGATGTGTGGGGAAATTCTGCCAGGACTTTCATGCAGATTTGTCCTCTCATCTCACAAGATTAGCATCAGAGAACAGATCACATTAGCACTGTGGCGTTTTCTTCTTTTCAATTTGATCCTGTCAGCCACTTTTCAGCCCCTTCATTTTATTTAATAACTTGTGGGCAGAGAACTTGGTACCTATCAGCCTTCTAGGGCTGCTGTTCTTAACCCTATTTATACCAGGATAACAGAGGGAAGGTGCCCTAGTTTCAGCTTTAATGCTTCTTTACAATCCTTCCTTGGTAAGAAATTTATGTTCCTTGCTTATTCTTTAAATACCACTGGAGTTTATGGAAATAAACATTTTCAAACTCAAATGCTGTAATGTATTACACAATTTCTTTTTCTCCTTTAGGCTTCAATTTTCTTCTAGCAAAAGAAAAATAGTTTGTGAGACAAGAAAATACAAGAATAATAATACTTCAGGATTCAAAGCAAAAAAATATTGCCAAGGTTACCATGAAACTAACTGTTGAAATTACAGGTATTTTTCAGGGCATTAAGGGCATGTTCTTTTAAGTTACCTTGGGTCAGTCTCAGTAACCTTTTACACTGGGGAAAAAGTACCTAAAATAACTGGAAATTACATTCCTGTTAAAAATATGGTGATTTTCATATAGACAAGCCACAGAGAACAGCTTCCTCCCTTTAATTTCCTTCTTTTGTTACAAATGGCACAACTTTTATTTTTGACACTAGGTGGGTATCACAAAGATTGGACCAAGCCTTTCAACATGCATTAGTCACCAACTATATAAAATTATACAGACTTCAGAAATTCAAACAAACAATTCATAACATGAATTAATTCACTCACTTGTTGCCTCTTTTCAATCTTCAATTTCATTCGGACCTGAATGCACTTTAAGGTATATCTGTACAAATCCCACGAAGCAACCTGCATTTGGCGTTTGTGAAATGCACCCATCAAGTTACCACAAAGGAAAATGATGGCATTGGCAAATAGCTGCACAAGAAGAAAAACATTTACTTACTGCAGAACAGTCATTGATACTTCACTAACACATATACTAGTCCCTGAAAAACAATCATCAACCCCAGACCACATGCAATTTATCCTATCACACACCAAATCACAGTGTTGCAATTAGCCAGGATGCACCAGGGGATATCAGGTAACTTGCACAGTCACAGACATTCCTGTTCAAACATACAGTAGTATAATAAAACAGAAGATTCTGCTGTATCAGTTAGCACCTATTTGCAGGCACCAGTGTTTGATGCACGGAGAAACCCACATCAAACACACTCATGCAACAGTGTGCTGTGTGAAGCCTGACACACACTTGCATCAAAAGAGCTGGGGTGCTCCTTTGAATACACCATATTAATAAGTGTTGGTGAAACTTATTAAAAAACACCCAGTGGCACTTCCAGGTCCTACTGACGCCCCAGGGCAGCAAAAGCCCTTTTGATCCACCCAGTAGGCAGTGCCAGGTGAAATTAGATAGACCCATCTGAAACAGCACAGACTGGGAAGAATGATTGTGACAGAGTCTGTCATATTTTGAGTAACTTAATTAAGAAATTAAAATGATAATTCTGCTTCTTACACTTAGGGTAGAAAACCAAAATTCATTCTAGATTAAAATAATTGCAATTTTAAGCTTGCAAACCACATTGGACCCAACATCCAAACCCATGCATTTGACAGATCCATGGGAAAGCTTGGAACTTATTTAAACAGGAAGTTATGCCAATATCAAATGGTAATAAGACTAGGGTTTTTAATTACTTAATCAAGGAGTATTTCCTTACCTGAAATAGAATGGATTCCTTATTTTCCTGGGAAGTCATGCTTACCATAATGCTTAGAACAATAATATGGGAGAGAGCAGAAAGAACGCTAATTATGACAGCACCTCGCATCCCAAAGGGTAGCATGGTATAAACTGTGAAGATTATGAATAGAAAGAGTGGCACCTTTGGAAAGAAAGACAGAAAGAAAGAAAAAAAAAAGGAAAATAATCACACATACGTGATATGAGGTGCCTACCAAAAATCACTACAGAACAAGGAGGAAAATAGCAGGATCTTGCTCATTTTCAGGCTGAACAATTAAATATTGACGTTTCCAAAAGCACAATTAAAACCATAAGGACAGTGGCAGTCCTAAAAGCTTTGAGGGAATTAGCAGCTATAGATTCATAGATAAAACAGTTTAACATGATATATCACCTTTAAGTTTTTCAGTTGTCCTTGCCCTTCCATCCTGAATTTATCAATTACATCTGAAGATGGACTTTGTACATCCCATACAAGGAACAGTGTGTTGCAAGGATAGAAATATCGAATACAGTCAGATTTCTCACCTTCTCCAAGTCATTATTTTAATATTAATACCACCCAATCACGTGTATATATTTACTCTCTATTTGATAAAAAACAAAAATCCAACCAATACTTCCTGTTGCTGATACAATAATTATTGTTGCCACTAACTACATATTCAGCTGCACAGATTTTACAAAATGCACGATGGTCCACTAAACTACTAGGGAGCAGGTCTATAAAACTTAAATCCATACTTAGAGCTTTGCTATAGTGTTTAGCTCATATATATGGAAAGTAACAACCCCAATCAGAGAATATTGCAGTGCTCCTGGCTCAGCTCCATCTCATCATTGCAACTCAATCTGTGCCGTTCCAGACATGAGCTTCCCTTAAAGAAGCTTCAAGGCCCAGTCTGCATTTAATAGTTTTGCCAGAATTAATAGCTTCACTGGGACAACAATAAACAGACAAACAAGAAAATAAGAGTTTCATTCAACAAAAGTTACCTTTTCATGTTCATTCCAACCCAAACCATTCTATGATCTTTACCATTTTAGCTGGACTGAAAACAACCTTTTCTGCCATATGTACAAGCCCTTTCACACAATGTTCTGAACACTGTAACAGTTTTATAAGCATGGACAAGCAAAGGTCATACCTGCATTTAAATAGTAGCTTTAATTAGTGATAAATTCATAACTTAAGATAAAAGTCTGAAATGAACCTGCTCACTTCTACTTTCTAATCTAGCATCTCCTTATATTTGAGGCTTTAAATCAATATTAATGAATTATTACCACATGACAACACCACAAGGCACCAGCTTGCAGCACTGAAAGCAGCAAAACCAAATCTTGCTTTGTTACATGTTTGTTAAGAACACTGTATTTTGGTTTTTTCCTAAAGTAATAGGTTCTTCCTTAAGTTAAAAAGTACTGAACAGCAACTGTAAATACACAGTGCTGGCTCTAGGCCATAACACAAATCAGATTTTGGTCATTTAACTGATAAGTTATATCTTTCATTATTTGAAAGAAAGAGGGGAAGAGTCAGTAAAACAAGATACACAGTCATTTTTATTTCATTAAAAACTCTTCTGTTTATATTATGCGATCTTAGGAGGAGTTTCCTACAGATTATGGTATTTTTGGCATCATGATATCGCCCGTCTTCTGATCAGAGATACTGAGCAATGGACTTTAGCCACACCCAGCTATGCCAGGATGTGTCATTAATTCTCATTGTTCATTTCACCTCTCCCACTGATTTGAAAACAGCCTCCCTAGGGCACACCCAGCCCTAGACTCCTTTATACATTTCTTGAACCCCACTTCGACCCTATAAATTAACAAAGCAAGTATTATTAACGAAAAACTCTCTCAAACACGAATTCATGGTAATTAAGATTTAGTAAGGACTTAAATAAAAAATACAATTTAATTACAACTTAAAGATGCAATTCCCACACAAATTTATGCAGGAGTCCAATTTTCTCAGCTGAACTGTATTTTCATTATAATAAAAAATACAAACTAGAATTTACTAAAATAAAACTATAAAACCAATTTAGGAATGTGAATCTAAATCTCACAAAAAGTTTATTATGCAATTATAATCTTCAGAAAAAAATAAAGCCCACAAAACACATTTGTATATACTGGCTACCAGTTTCATATAAGTACCTGAATGAACAAGATATACATACCTGTTCCCACAGTTGATAATCATTCTCTCTTTCAAAAAGCGACACATATCCTACGATTAAGAAGCAAATCCAAATCATAACTCCAAATAGCATCAGCCACCTCCGAAACAGGGATTCGATACACAAAAGTAAGTACATGACTGCAAACATGACAAGAGCAGCACATACTGCAATGATGAAGGCAAGATGATAATGTGCTTCCTGTAAAAGGAGAACGAAGTGTTATAGTTGGTTTAAATGTCCCCTTTGGAAAAAAACAAACATAAAATGCTATGCTATACTGCCCTGGAAACAGCTTAAGTAGCTTTAAAAGATGCTAACCTGAGTTCCTAAGTAGTCTAACTGTGGCAGCATTATTTCCTCATACTCACACATACAGAGATAATAAATACTATTATAGATATCCAGCCTACCCCAGTTCCAGAATTATTTCAAAAATTAGTGGGTTTTTCTTTTAAGCTAAGGTCTAACTATGCTATGTTGTACAAAGCAGGTGTACCCAAAGAAATGCATTTGAGGAGTTCAAGCTTTACTAAAAAGTTGATTTTTTAGTTTTACAAGAGATGACTTCTTACATATAAATAGCATTGCTACTTCTTTTCTTTTTCAAGATAATAAAAGCTAAAAGGGATATAAGTGCAATTGGTAAGATTAGATTTATTGCTAAAGAGAGACTTAAAGGTACTTTATTATGAAGCACAGTATTTGGAGAGCAGTGTTAGAAGGCAATGAAGGATCAGAACAGCTTCCTTATTACTTTTTACAACATTATCTTTAAATCAACTCCCCTTTTCAACAGCTGTCAACTGGACTGGCTTGAACATTTAATTTCTTTACAGAAAGTTCATACTACACAACAACAAATTCTTTAAACTGCATCTTTCCTATGCCTACAGGATCCCTGTTCCTTAATAACTAACTATTGATTCAACGGGTCACCCGTTGAACCTGGGAGATCACCTGTTGTACTGGGAGATTCCTGTTGTATTTGAATTAATAGCTACAAATGCTTCAATTAAAACAAAGAAATCGCCTCAGGAATTCAAACCAATGAATCACTATATTCTTTTACATTTCTTAGCTGACTCTAAAAAACAAAATATGAGAAATGAAGTACACTTTAACTTATGTCCTTGTTCCTTCCTTGGTCCCTTTATTATTGCTTTACTATCCTAGCTACTATTTAGCATAGATTATGATTTGTTCATAACATATAGGAAGACAAGAACAATACTTATAGTAACTGCATGTGCCTATCAACACAGTCTCCTCTCTTCCCTGTCCCTTCAAAAACATGCACACCATTACATACATAATTACTTGATATAACACTGCAACTTTGATACCATACGGATCAAAAAATTATTTAGCTAAGTTTTTTGTGTATTGTTATAGTGACTTCTCATCATCTTTGTAAATATCAAACACAAAGAAAAAGCTATACTCACCTCAGTGGTAAAAAAGACTATAATAAGAGTAGTCCAGAAGATGATTGCAATGAAGAGCAGCAGTAGCAGGAGCGGATGCTGCTGGCTCGTATAGCGGTACTTCTCATAGAGTGGGTCTGACATCCTGCAGTCATCAGTTTCATTGAAGAAGTATTTACCTTTAGCTGGCATTTTCTTCCAGGTTAGCTGCTATTGCACTCAGTGCACAGAATAAGACACAGCTGAAGCTAGTGCTTCAAAGAGAAGGTTTGTCTTTTCGCTGCTGCCTCTGCAGTCTTCAGGCACACTGAGTAACCCACGTTTTCTGGCTGTACTTCTCATGAGCATTAACTTCAGATTTCCAATGCAACCAGAAGCAATAGAGTTAGCCTCCCCACAACCACAGGCAAGTCATCATCAACCTGTATTTGTGAAGAGAAGAGGTTTTAGTGTGGGGGGGTTTTTTAATTATTATTTTGCAAGTCTCTAACTCCTTTCCATAATCTTGCATATCACTTCCCAGGATGAACTCTGCAGAGACATTCATTAATTGAATGTATTCCAGTTATGTGTATAGAGTGTTGCCCAAGGCAAAAAAGGGCAAAGCACATTCCTTAAACTTCCTATTTGCACGCTCTAACCAGTGAGCAACCAGTCTCTTGCTGGCAGGGTGGAAGCCCAACAGCCCTGTGAGTGGGCTATGGTGCCCAGCAGCTGCAGGGGCAGGGCTCAGGCAGCGCTCACCAGCGCCTGCCCTACGCACGCCAACTGTGCCCTGCTCTAACAGCTGAAACATTTTCCTATCAAAACCGTACTAAATCTGTTTTGCTGCCTTTTGAGCAAATGACTGAGTTTCCATAAGCATGTTGTGTAACTGAATACTAACTCTTCCGAAGTGATGTGCATGCCTCTCTGTGTATATATACCTGAAAGCTTTAATCACGTTATACGTTGTATTCTTTTTCAGAACATACAACTTAAAAATTAAGAAATCCTTTTTTTATTCCTTTCACACTTTAATTAAAAGGCATAGAAAAAGAGAAAAGAATACAGCTGTCCAAACCAAAATTCACTAAACTTTTTTTTAAATGAAAAAGATAGTTAACATCTAGTTCTATATACTTTATTCAACTCTAATTAATAGTGTTTCCAAGGCAACAGGTGTGTTCTGTTAACAATGAACATTAAGGAATGTACTGTATTGTTAATTACTAATGACCAATGTTTTTCAAATAGATTCATGAATACAGTTCACTTAATGCCAAGACATGTAACAAAAAGAAAGCAGAGGGATGGGATGGAGGGAAGCATGAAAAACAGGATTTCAGAAGAAGTCTTATTAAAACTTGATAGCAGCACAACAGCTTTTTTGCCACTTCACTGCCATCACCATGGTGCCCAAGGTTACTGCTCTGGGGAGAAAGAACCCACTAAACGACTTACAGAAAAGCCAAATCCTAGGCAGTTACTCTCAAAAGGCAAAACATTTAACTGCACACACGTGTTGAGACTGCATTCACACTACAACCAGAAGTGGTGTAAAGGAAGAAGTTTCAGAAGCCATACTGAGTGATTTAGCCTATGTAAACAGAGCCAAACACCTGCATACTACCCAATTACTAATGGCCAAGCATGCAAAACCACATATGCCAATGGTGAGACTGGACAAAAAACTTAACTTTTGCAGCAAAATGTGTACTACAACCTAATGCTCAGAGTCTATCAGAAACTTGGATTAATCACAAAACCAGAAAAGATTATTGTATGATTTTTATTCAGTAACACCCAGAATAACCTCACATAAGTATTAAAAACTGAAATAAAAAGACATCTTTCATAACATCTTTCCTGTGTATAGTTAATGGTACACCTAATAGCTCACATGTATTGGTTATTACTGAGCTTTTCTTCATAATAAAAGGCCTCTCATTTCTCACCTGAAAAAAAAAAAAATCTTCTGGTACTCATACATCTGCTGTGCATAGTAATGCTCTTGCAAAGGTGTGCAAGTGCATCCTGGAAATGACTGACACATAAAGTAAAGAAGATGCCAAGAGCAAATGGAAACATTCAGATCATGCCCTAATGCATTTTCCAAGTCATACAGGTGTCTGCAGAATTACTTGAGTATAGGCCAGATTTTTCTGAAGAGGATACTATCAGGGCCAAGTATTTTAGTCAGAATTCATCTTTCAGTAACAAAGACAACACACTATAGACAGAGGGAAGGGTATAACTATGACGCACTGGAGAGGCCAACAACTCACTGAACAGCCTGAAGTCTTCCTTTACCATAAAGGCAGGAGGAGTGCAGGAAAGCACTCTGCCTGATGTGATCCGCTATATACAGAAGAGATTATAGGTTTGCTGTTCCAGTTCCCTCTAAAAAGCATATTTTCAGAATAAAAACATTCAAAAAGGTTCTTCAATATACTTAGAACTTGCAGAAATACAATTTTGAGGGTAATTTTTGTGATAATGGTATTATGAGAGGCAGTGTTATTTTTTCAGTTAGCAGGACCAAATCGATTTTCTAAAAATAACTGTTCATTGCTAAGCAGTAATACATTCACAGTTATGAGAGACAAGCAATCCTGTTTTGGGCTACTTAATATTGAAATCTAAGAAAAATGACTTCACAGCTTGCTTTCAATAATTTATGCTTCTATGTCAATGAAAAAACAATACCAGGGACAATCTCTATTCTATAGAACTACATTGCGTGGCTGTGATTCAGTTATCTAATGTTCAAAAGATGAAAAAGATGTCAAATGTTAGGTTGGAACTATCTCTCAATATTACTTAAGAGTGTTACAGGATAACAAGTTGAAGAGACATGTCTCTTCAATGGCTTAATCCATCCTAATGAAAAAGAAACTGCTGCGTTACCGATTTGTTTATTCCTCCACTGATTTTTGTATATATACAAGTAATTACGAAAGTCATAGATTTGCTTCTCAAAACTCTTATGTAAAGAAACCTCCAAACAGTACTGTATTTGTCTATCTAGAATTTATAATACATAAATGCTACTTTGAGATGAATAATTCAACTCTGAACTAGTTTCGATTTGCATCCCATGTCCCGCTGCTGCTACCACACTCCTTAAGAAGTACCAGAGCAACTTGTGCTCCTTCAGTACCAGTTAAATATTTATTTAGATTGCAAATTACTTGCAACACACAAAATTGGCTAGTTGAGAATCATGCAATTATGCATTAGTTAAACAAACACATTTTTCCATGTGACAAACGATCTCTCAGTCATCACCTTACAATCAAAACCAGAAACATACACACACGCATATTAGCATAGGAATTGTATTTTGGCTCCAAAACCACTACAAACACTTAACAACTTGTTAATTTTTTTATTTATTTATTTTTTTAACACTACTGTCATTACCTCTTCGCATTAACATACAAGACAATCTTTTGTTCAAGAAACTTCCACAGACTAGGCTGGAAGTCGCCACTTTTTGCGTCATTCCCCTTTCTTCTCTGATAATTTTTCCAGTAACCTTCAGAAAATGTAGAAGACAGCCTTGAGAGAGAAAAAAAAAGCTTCTGTCTCATGGACAGCATCACACCCTACTAAAATCATCAATCTAATACACTCCTGTTCATGTATTTAAGGCTCACATAAGCCCTGTGCACCACAGCATCATTTTTGCTTTTTTCTTTGTCACTGTTTCTTGGAGATCTCCTGTTCTCACACCACAAGAGAGGGGTAACCCTGAAAAAGCAACAAGCCACAAAAACCAAGCAGCACTTCCAGAAGCACCAAGCCAAATGGAGACTGAATCTAGGCTGCTGCCATAAAACCATGGAGCTCTGATCATCTGTTTATCAAGAAAAAACGCACTTCTTTAGAAGCCTTCATTGTGTTCTGAAGAATTACAGGGGAGAAGGAACAATTTGTCAACCAGATCGACATATATGAGAAACAACTCCAACAACAGGGGGTGGAAGCTTCACTAGGAACCTTCAGAAATGTCTACCAACAAAACAAATATTTAGACAGATCTCTGTGAGCTCCACAGCCATCTGCATGCCAAATAACATGAAAAACCTTTGGTCACATAAAGAAATTTGCCTAATGAATATGTGAGAACAAGCACTGGACATGCAATAGGCATAAAAAACCTGTCCAATAGGATTCCTTACAGAACATCAGTCAGAACAGCTACAGCCTTCCAAATCTACTCTGTTTCAAGCCACTGGGAACAAGGCTGTTCTCAGATTCACAAAAGAATCTTAACTAGGTATGTACTGGGCAAGACCTAGCACACATGCACAGGCACTTCTCATCTGCAAGCAAAAAAGACAACAATCTTCCACAAATCTGGTATTTCTGACTGCTCTGTGCTCTCCTGCCCATAGATAGGAATTTTCAAGCATCACTAAACTCTCTGGTCTCCTACTGAAAAGCCATAGAGCTTTACAAAACATATAAAAGCCAACATTTCATTAGGCTACTAGGCTTGGACTGAAGCTCTTTTGCTCTCCTGGGCTAGTTAAAACTGTTAGGAGTGCTTTGTGTCTATATAAATTTTTATTTTTTTTTTTTTTTTAGGAAATGGCCTGGACTAAACCATTGCAGAATAGACATGACCATGCTACAGAGCCTACACAGACCAAGTGTTTTACAGAAAACTACCTGAAACATGGTATCATGAGCCACACTACCAGTCATGTTACAAAAATCAGAGAAGTCTCTTTCTTTGGCAGTTTGCTCAAGGTAAGTGGCTAGAAAAGATCCAAGTCTCTTCACAGGCAAAACTAATCTGGGAATACGTATTATATAGACCAACCTTTCACTAGGCAAAGCAGAAAGTTCAGGGCAGACGAGGCAAATCAGCTGATGGGGTAAGAACACAACTCCTTGTGTCTTCAAAGCAGCAAGGACTTCCCTCCTTTCCCCTCTCCAGTCTTGTCATAAACAATGTGTAGTGTACCTCTAGGTAACAGCCTTCCCACACACATCTGCACTGCAGGCACATTTTCATAATGTATTTTCATAATGCATTTTCATAATATGGCTAGTAATTAAATAGAGCATTCTTCCTCCCATCTTGTTTTCTAAATAGGCTATTACTACTTTCCAAGTCACATCAACAATGTCTTTTCCATTCTAATAGCCAACTGTCACGCAAATAAATTTGTTAGCACCTCAAATTTCATCCTCCGGTG